TGAAATAGAAATAAAACTTGTGGTGGTAAAATTATAGTTCATTTCCTTTATTTGAAATTTCATAGAGGGTGTTTTTTATTTTGTACTTAATACAAGGAGCTTTTGAAGAGAACTTTTTTAATATTCAACCACCGCAACTCTGGTAGTCGGAATTTTCAGTTGAGCTTAGGAGATACAACATAACAGTTAGATACGCGAGAAAGGAACGTAATGAGTAAAATATAAACTTATATGAATGAAGGATACAAAATTCAGGCTGTTGTACACATAGAAAGTGTGATGTGCGTGTGTATGTATACGAAGGATTTGCAAAAATTGAACAAACTATTTGGTAGTAATATACTAAATTAATATTTATGCAATAATTTTTAATAGATAACAAGAAAAACTAAATTTCGACGTGTGTGATGTATGCGCATAATTAAGCGTGTACATGCATATATGCATTTGCTTGTAAAACTTTACGGCCAGTTCCTTGGGTGTAGATTTACAGGTGAATAGTACATGTGCACTAGTGTAAGCAGATGGATGGTAAAGGTGCATTGAGTATTGTTAATCCTTCAAACAAGCAGGGAAATGTTGTGTCACCAGCGGTAACAGAAAAATGTAAAATTGTTAAACAATGTTTGTCAATAAAGGGATGTTTCTTTTCTAGATTAAGTATCCAACTATAATTTGCTGCTTGCCATATTTAGGGATAACAGATCACAGACATAGAATGCGATGAAGAGTGCGACAGCGTGTACGTTGGCTAGAGCAATTTGTTAAAGCAAATTTCGATCGTTTGTTTTTTGTTTGTTTTCTTATTTGGCTCCCTGCAGAGAATATTCGCGTAGTTCAGCATTGGCGTTCCTTAATAACGTAGATCATTCTACTTCCAAACAGCGGCACGTGCAAGTATGAATTGAATTTAGCATGCATTTGGCCTTGATTGTGTTTGTGGGTCTTTATGATAGTGGATGTTGGTATTGCACTTTTATATCAATCAATTAAAGTTTCCTGTGTACTCGACAAAAATTACGTACGTTCTTTATGGACAACGAGACAAATTTTAAATTGCAACCACTCCCACGACTTGCACTGAACCTTTGCTAACGGCTCTTGTTTGTTGTCTTACTCAGCTCAAGTTTCTGACTATTCGTTTCCATTGGTTCGTCAATTGTGCGTTTTGCATAATTTTAGAGTCGCGTAAAATGGTATTGAATAAGGGAATATTGAAACTTATGTGCATTTAGTTGATTCTCAAGGATAAATAATTGCAGTCCAATGAAGCAAAGAGAATCAAACTTGAAAGCGAATAATCCAAAATATTGTTATCTATACGGTCAAGTTGCTGCATGTAACGATCTAAATCTCGGTAAGCTTGTTCATATAACATTTGAAATTATTGCTTTTATTTACATGATGAACGCGAAAAGCTTCCGAATTATTGAAATAGGAAATATTTAAGATCCACGTCTATTGGTTCTTTTTTGTTTTACACGAACAGAATGATCGTTGATTTTCATTGTAAATACGTACACGCTAGTTTGAATTGAATTTCGGTGTTAAGATAATTGGTGTGAGTAGATGTATTTAGTTTTCTATATGTACCTCAATATTTGGCTCTATTACATATGTGTTTGTATCTTGTCTATATTTCCTTTGAAAATTCAGCTTTCTAGCTATGCAATAGACATTAGAACCATCTAACGCACATATCTAGCGTGAGTGAAAATAACATTTACTTCACATCGCACCTACAAATATTGTAAGCTGGTTATTGCATCAATTAGAAGAAAGCCTTTATACTAAAGCACCTTTACTATCTACTTAGTTTTTGCGGTACTCGTTTTAAAATCGAAAGTGTTTTTGTTTAACGTGTGATGAATAACCGCAATGAACGAAACCGTTGAAAATATTCGGATTAATCTAAATTGAAATGCTGAAGAATTTATAACAATAACTTTAAAAACATTTATTTATTTCTAATTGAAGGCATTTGAAGCCACTAAAATTATAAAAGCTTCGAAATTAATTTTAAAAACAATTTTGAAAGGGGTAAGCATTACTATGGAAGAGAGTGAAAAGACAAAAAAAATTGAATTAATGTTACTACGCGAGAGACGTTTTACAGTCCAAAAGGAAGAGAAACAATTATGTGCTAAACACTGGATAAAGAAACCACGAAAAATACCATCATATAAAAAATTTCAGCAAGAGAACCTAGAAAGTAAACATCACTTGCAACCTCCAGATGATCCATCAAAATTTGTTAACATTCGAAGCTACTGCAATAATATAATTGAAGACAAACACCTTTCGACAAAACGCTGTAGAGAACCTCAACCCTTGCAATTTTTAAGCGCATTTAAAAGTAATCTCGCATCATTAAACCCACATAATGAATTTAGTGAAACTGATTTTTTGCGTTGCTATACAATTGTGACGCGACGATGTACCTTAACGCGACTCTGTGCTGTGCTCCTTTTGATTTCAGCGCGTGGTCACTCTATGCAAATGGCACGGGACCGTTCAATAACTACCGTTACGCTAACTATGTTAGCTATACTAGCTACGGCTTCCACTCACGTTTTACCTGCTTCAACGTATGAGCCCGTTTTAAGTTATTCGCAGCGTAGATTCTACAATCAGTTCAGCAATACGGAGGCTATGGTTATAGACGATATTGATGTGCATAGCAATGAACAACAATTGTTGGCCTATTACAAGCAGGCACGGCAAGAGCAACAAGTGAAAAAACAAGAAAGCTTCCGTTATCGTCCACGAGATCAGGACAATTCTTTGTTTAGTGATCATATAGAAGTGAAAGGAAATCGCACAGTTAAGATAAACGCAACAAAGCGTTCAGCAGCCGCTAAGCCTGCAAATCCTTATGCAGCAGCAACAAATTTTACGAGTACTACAAGTACAAATACTACAGGTATTTCCATGACACCTCCGATAATTGCTGAAGAAAAATGTGAAGCCAAAACTTTGGATGAAATACCAGCTGAACCGGTAAATTAGAAAATTGACAAAAAAGTGCATTTTAGCCAAGCGAATAATAATAGCAATAACAAACCGTTTCAGTATTACGATTTTAGGGATATAGCCGAGGACGCTGCTCGTCAATTTACTGAATTTTTAGCGAATAAATTTCCGTCTGTTCCACCTGCTATAATAACTGATCAAATTCGCGACGAGGTAAGACGTCGAGCTAACGGCATTGCCAGCTATGCCTTAAGTGAAGACGACAATCTATTGGCGTTCGCTTTAGCAGCGCCAAGCATACACACGGTTGTGGTTAAATTTAGAGATAATGTTACGGTAATAGAAGGCACATATTACATTTGTGTCTGTATGTGATTTAAAATTTTTTTTTTATAATTTTAAGATACCACCGGAGCAGACACATAATCGTGGATTTTTAGGTTCCTATTGGCGGGAATTGGGACATGCGTGGAATAGCACTGACGATACTCAAGAATGGGGAGCACCGTTCAGGGATTGTAATCTCTTAGTAGGAAGATGGTTGTGGCCTTTTCGTTTATCATTTTCAGAGTCGAAAATCAAGTGAGTGAGAAAACACTTTTTTTGACAATGACTTTGAGAATAATATTCACTTTAATAAAGAATTGTTGCCGCGGCCTTTATAGCCGCTGATGAAGATGTCTGTAATGACGGTTTAGAGCTGATTTTCGGAAGAAGACATGGGTAAATATAAATTGAATTGTAAATTGGCCAAGGATCAACTAATTCAAATTATAATGCAGTTGTGATCGTAATACCACCTTTTGTTTATTAACCGAAAACAAGCCAGCCGCCACACGGGATGTTTACACCTGTATTTGTAAGGAATCTTATTATTTGCCAAATTCATCACTGCAAGGTTTTCGAGGGGATATCGTTGAAATGTCGGACGGTTTTGACAACTATTCTTGCGTACCCTGCCCAGGAGGATGCACCACGTGCGATTCGAACGGGGTTTGTTTATTTGGTGGACCTCAAGAAGCTGTTTCATTAGAAAGTTTATTGAAAGTATCAGTTGGATCTTTTCTGGGAGCTTGCATTCTCTGCTGCGTGGTCTTTAGTGTTATTGTGTTCAGACAAAGGAAGTCCAAGGTATTGTAGCCACGATATCAAATGGTACTCGTTAATGTTCACTATCAGTGAGACACGATGAAATATTTGATTTCATTTTTCTCATTTATTATTTTGAAAGCTTGTCTACAAAAACCGCTTTGGTGTCAAATAATGTCTGCTCTTAAATGGATTACGTTGATGTTGCTGTCTGCTTTTGCAGTTATCCGCAAAATTGATGTATTGTGCAGCACTAACCAAAATTCGCTGGCGTACATAAATTCTTATGTATATAGGATATCATACATAAAACTTCTGTTCTCTCTTTTTCTTTTAGCCTTACTGATTTCCCATTATTTCAAAGATTAAACGTACAATTACTCGTCGGCTATACTAAGTCTGAAAAAAATTCATGTGAAAGTACAAAGCTTGTTACACTTTATTAATAATTGAAAATTATAAAACATAGGAGTCTGTAATTGGAAGAAAGTGTTGAAATTGCAACCAAATGCTGTTCATCAGTTTATTTAAGGTCTTTTTTGAATTTGTTTCCTATAAGTTGTGCTCATGTCAAAACAAGTGAATGGTTGGCCATCCTTTTCATTGAGTTTAAGTAATGGATATGCAGAATATACTTCAAAATGAATAAAATCATCTTACTTGTTGCTTTATTTCCGTTTCTCTTTCTTTAGGCGATTGCTTCTGGCATGTGGACAGTTTTGGAAACTATATTAACAGGAATTGTATTACTTTACGCATCGGTTAGTTGGACTTTTTTATTAAATTTTGATACTTTAACTTTTTTCCGCATATGATTTCTCCAGGTTGCCGTCCATTTCTTTCCCGCTTCAACTGAGCGCTGTCTAGTTGAACCTTGGTTGCGTGAATTAGGATTCATAACATGCTACGGAGCTGTCATTTTAAAGTTGTATCGACATTTAGTTGATTTCCGTACAAGAAAAGCACATCGCTGGGTGTTACGTGACGTGGATTTACTAAAGTATTTAGGGACAATGGTATTTGCTGTCGTCTGTTATATGTCAGCTTTTACTGCCTCTTCGTTGGACTTAATCGAAGCAGCACAGCTAGAAAGTTTACGCGAGGTTCACACCAATACATGCCAACCGCTTAAATGGGAAGTTGTAACCCAAGTTAGCGAAATGCTTATTCTGTGCTTTGGTTTGCATTTAGCGTTTTCAAGCCGCAACGCCAACACGCACTTTAAAGTCGGTAAAATCTGTGATTGGAAACACGTCAAGGTATTTTTAATTTTTTTATAAATTTTAGGAACGACAATTTCTTGTGGCCACATTGGTAATTGAATTCCTAGTTTCTTCCACCTTCTACCTGCTCCGATTTTTTTATTTGCCTATTATGAGCCCGAGCGCTATATTTTTGGCTTTGTTTTTACGCTCCCAACTGACAAATACTGTTGCTTTGGCCTTAATATTTGTGCCCAAATTGTGGTATCAACACAAGCAAGTGAGTCAATTCCAACCCTTGATTTCTTTCTTTGCTTCTGAAATTTTTTGATAAGTAAGAAAATAAGATTTTAATTTAAAAAACTAAAATAAGTACAACCATTGGAGTTGGGCAAGACCGACCAGTAAATACCCTACACCACTTCGCTTAGTACAGTTCTCCACTTCTAAGAAGAACCCTTATATGGGATGGGGTCCAGAAAACGTGGATTTATATTGTCGAAGGTTGGTGCAACGAATTACAATCTAGAGGCCGTTTTTATGATAATATACTGAAAATGTTCTTTGTGAGAATTATTATGAGAACACTTATATAGACGCGGGCGCAAAAAATATACCTCTCTGAGTCAAAGTTGACACGCATTTATTTCGCTTGCCAAATTCTCTCCTCTTAAGTGTTTAAATGCGGGCACATCAGATGCAAATCAGTCACATCAATTGATTATGCCGAAATACCATTGCATGGCGACTTTTGTGGAGGTATTTTTAAAATGAAATTTTCTTATCTAAGGCTAAGGATGTCGACTAACAATTCAATGGCCGTGGGTTAAAATCTCGAGTACGGTGAAGATTTCAATAAAGCCGATGGCTTCAGATGCTAGTGCTTTAAGACTTTAGTCTTTGAACTTATTTCTCTGGCTAAATTACCTATAATAATAATAATAATATTAATAATAGAATTCTTTCATATTGATGTTATAAAATTCGTCAAAGTATGTCGAAAATTAAGACAGAAAGACAGAAAAAATATTGGAAATTTTGCCGTTTGACCAAGTAAGGACTCAGTTGTTATATTCAGTTGTCAGATTTCTCATATCAATTTTGAGTGCGGAAGTACTATAATCAGCGATGTCGATCACGAAATTTTGAAAGTTGCAATACATTTTATTTAACGACTTTTCAGAATAAGGCGTTATATGAAGAGCGATCGAAAAAGTGGTGAAGAGCATAAGCATTTTCAATAAACTTCGTTCTTGTGCAACGAATCCTCGGTGTAACAAATTTAATCAAAGTACATAATATACACATACATTATTTGAATGCAACGCGTGTACAGACCTCGAACGGACACAGGAATTTAGTTCGCTATAATAAAAGTTGGGTCTGTCTTAAGTCCTTCTGAGTGGTACATATATCTGTACAAACATAATGTACATTGTCTAACATGTGGCGTAGGGTATAATAAGCAAGAAAATTTTCGGTTATATTTTATTTTCATACTAAGAATTTGATGGTAATTTTAATTTCTGAATTAGGCCGTTTGCGAATCATGGTTATAAAGCTTATCATTTGTATTTAGTTTTGCTTATAAGTTATTTTTTATTAACCGTTTAGTAAGAGATTAAGTAATTTGATGTTCAAGACAACCAACAGCTATGAAGTTAATGCAAGTGATGTCTTCCATAAAACGAAAATTTATATGAATTCGATTGATATAATGTTTAACTTAAATGCTTTTGAAGTACAATTCTATAATTCTATGTATATATGCACAAACATAACATATTTATATATATTTGTATAAAGATATATATGTATTTATGCACATATACCTGTTACCGGAGGAAGAAAGTATACACATCTAACGCTCACAAAAATATAGAAGAGATCTCCTGAGATAAGTATTGAAAAAAAAATTTTTATAAGTCATGACCCACCACGAGGTCGTTTTACGTAAAGAAAAAAAATAGTTAAACAACGAAACAGAAAGTGAGAATTTGAGGGAATCGCTGTGGGCTGCATGTTCCAACATCAATTATTTACCCCTGTTTTATACAGAAAAAATTATGCAGCTCGGCTACTTGCGAGGTTTAATGTAATATAAACCAAATAAATTGTTATAAAATTAATTAAATAAATAATTGTTATATTAGCTTGGGAGGATATGCGTGCGAGTTTCGTGTCTAAATAAATTTTCTTCGCTTTTTACCAAGATAATATAGAACAATGAAGATACACGACTTTGTTATCCCACTTACAATGCCGGGAACATATATTTTGTCAGCACGAAATTGTCTGAAAAGTCTTCTCTATCCCATGTATGTCCGCTCAAGAGTCAGTTTTTTAAAGTAATTTTCAAATTTGCAAAAGTTGAAATAAAAAATTAATATGTAGCGTATAAATGCTTTTTCTTGCCTCTAGAAGCGAATGCTGGACGTGAACATGTCGAGACTATTTCAAAATAAGAAAACTTTGGAAACTTTATTAAAGATCGATATAAAAATTCATAAAAATATTTGTCAATGTAATGTAAAAGCTCTCTTGAAATATGATCCGAACAAACCAATGTCATGACTATGACTAGAAGAAAAAGAATAGATCCGATAAGGTGGTGGGTATTCAAGATTCGTCGCAAAGCGAATGCAGCTTTCTTTAGTTGTTTTATCTTCTTTCTCGATCTCTAGCACCTTTTCTCTTTTCCCTAAGTTTTCTTTTATTTTTCTTTTAAATCACTTCTTCCTAATGCTTCCAAGATTATATCAATAGAAGCATTTCTAGAAAAGTTGTATAAGCACCTGATTTTCTTTTGTTGTTGATTTGCTGAATTCTAAAAAAACAGAAGAAATTATGATATGGAATCTATTCCAAAAAATCTCTTTCGAATTTTAAAGCAAACTTTTTAAACAGATTTTTAAAACATTTTTTAAGAGCACTTTAATAAAAATCTCCTAAAATGATGCCTGGTAAAATTTACGAAAAAATTTTAAGGAAATATTTATAAAAAATTTTAATAGAAGGCATAGAGCATAAGTTTCATAAGAGAAATGTTGTATCGAAATTTTCATCGAAACTAAATTGGAACGAAAAACGTGGTTTGACATCCCTTATCGAACTTTATATACAAGAACACAATTATTTTACATCCCAATGTAGCTCGGTTTTAATGTAACCACTTCACGTCCATTAAAAATCGCCATAGAGCCAAATGGTGTATTTTCAAGTTGGTGACTTAACCATATATGATAGACTCGTTTACTAACGAAAACATTGTGCCAAAAGTGGGCGCTATTTTGATAAAACTCTCTATTTTCTTCGTCACGGTTTAGGCTGTATGTGTTGAACTTACATAATAAATGATCCACCTGTTGGATCAACGCAATCTTATATGTACTCGGGATCAATTCTTCGCAAAAGCTATGTTTTAATTTAGTCGCAAAAATGCGTACCCTTCCCAAAACTATCTGTAAACAATAACTTCAAGACACTTTCAATAATCTCGTCTCCTTTCATTCCCTACGCATCCCCGTTTCATTAGACCGTTAACAACGGAGAATTATATACATCTCAATATTTCCGCTTGTTTGATAGTTCGCCTATCGTAACGGAATAAATATCGTAGACTGCTCCCGCGATTTAAATTTTACGTTTTGATGGAAAATTTGAAAAATTTATAAATTAAAGTATTTTCGAAAGGTGGTCTTCGAAAAAGCCAAATATCGGAAGAACCTAGACAGAATAGACACCTCTAAACGAGCGTAGCAAATTGTGAAGTGCTTATGAATACATACATTAGACGACTGAAAATTAGCCGACCTTCACTCTTTTCTCTCACAATTTTCCTTCTTGCACCTGCACTTTACTCTTTTAATTCTTCGCTAAGCAGCTTAATCCAGCACTCCGTTTTGTTTGAGTTCGTCTGCATACATATGTATCTATGCATTTATGTGTATATATGTACGCGGCTGCGTAGTGTTTTTTGTTTGCATTATTTATGATTTGCAACATTTGTTTTAATCTGAGTTGAGCTTTCATATCTGTGGGTGGTTTTGGCGGTGTTGGTTGCATCTTCATAGCTTGCAGGTTCGTTCCCTTGCCCATGATCTATCAATACGTTTACCTGTGGATGCTTTTAAGGGTTCTCATGAAACTGGGCAACGGCTTGGAGCTGGCTATGCGGGTCTTTGTGTAGGTGACCCCGATATTGGCGAACTTACAATTTCGGAAATGAGTCCGGAGGATATACGTGCTGAACTTAAAAGGTTTTTATAAAACAAAATTTTTTTTTTATCTAAAAAATATTGACACAATGTATTTTTGCAGGCTTTATACTCAATTAGAAATATTGAAGAACAAAACTTTACGCCAAGATAATCCGCACATAAGCAAAAGACGTGGAGGACGTAAAGCTGGTCACAGGCGGTTCTCATTACAGGTGCGTGCAATATGCCTAGATAAGAGTTAAGGTTATCCGATATTACAAATTTTATGGACAGACGATCCTTTTTGTATATAATTAAAAAACTGAAAGCTTGATCATAAGGGCTGATGATGGTCGATGATCCCAAATTGATATTGCACTAACAGCAGCTTACATGCGTATGTACTATGTACATATGTATGTAACTCGTAGGCACATATGTATGTGTCATGTGACATTGACATTGCATTGCCTTAAATTAGTGTACATCTCATGTTTTGTTTTTTCTTTTTTTTTCATGATTACATATGTATATATAACAAAAAACATAATTGTTTGTATACATACAAATGTATGCGCTGTGTTACACATATGTAGAAGAAGGGCAGCAAGGATAAGGTAAGGATAGTAACAAAGAAGAAAATTCATACATATACGTACATCGCAGAATTAAGGCATTCAATCTTAAGATACCCAAACAAAAAAGAAATTATAGTCCGCTTCGAGAGAAGTTTTTCATGCAGGCAACAAATTTTCATTAAAGAAAACACTAGAACGTTTTAGTCGAGCGACGATCCCATTTAATTTTCCGCGCTTAGCGCACTACAAACCGTAGTAGCCAGATTCGGTACACTTAACGTTTTTCTCAAAGAGTTTGCTATTCCTAACCTATTTACGTCGTAAAACAGCAAAAATCAGACCTTGTTATAATATGAGAACTTGGTTTTTGCACGAGCCCTTGTTACAAAGTAAACGTTCTTACTGTATGAAAATCATTTTTTGGGATAACGCTATGGAAGCCTTTCAAAAATTAATCGCATTTCTTTCAAATTTTCTACTTTTCTTGCATATATATGTATATTGGTCTCAAAACTAGTAGTAGTAGAAAAGGTTGAACATAAAGATACAGGGACAGATTCTAGACGGACAGATAAAGGGAGAAACAGAAAAGCTTCAATCGATTCAGGATCATTTGCATTATTAAAAAGTGGGCTCCTCTTAAGTCCTTCTGCGTTTTGCATAAGACCGAATAAACTTAATAACACATGTAATATCCTGCATTACAAGTGCAGTAGAATATACAAATTTCGAATGCACGTAAGGCATTTTTACACAATTTGGTAGTATCTCATAGGCAAGAGCATTGGATAGACTCATCCGCTTTTCCAATTTGGACAGAGGATTTTAATAAGGAAATATAAGATTATTGGGAATAGAAACCGAAACCCATTACAAAATTTACTTGATCTAACGAAGATGGAAAAAAAAATTTGAATTCACGACGACCGCAAAGATGAGATATAAATAAACCCAATATTGATCAGTCGGCTGATTCGACATTTTTACGAAATGTTTGGATAGTAAAAGAACTTGAGCCTCGAATTTAGCCATTTTTATTATGGAAGCATAAGTAAAATGCGCAATGCCTGCGCTCACACTTCCCCTGCAGCAAGTATTAAGACACATGGGCTCAAGGTTTTTGTCAATTCCCAAAATTCGAAATTCTTTGGCGGCTGGAACCTTTTTATATTGAATGCCTTAATTATTCGTTTAGTACACTTGAATGTATATATGTCTGTCTCTCTTGTGAACACAATTCTCTTCTCTCTATGTTATGTAGATATCTCAGCAAAACTACAATAATAAGTGCATTACAAGACACCTAACACTTCACAAAATATTCGAATTAGGATTTTATTAAATTCTACAAATACCTATCTATATATGAAACAAGAATATAAATACAAAAAAAAATTCTTCACCTTTCATCACTTAAACCTTTGCTTTTATCACTTGCACGGACTTTCCACTTTCTAGACATAAATAGCCAGCCTTTCTTCAAACAACATTTTAAGAGTGCTGTGTATGCATGCTTTAAACTCTTTAGTGAATATCTGTGCTATTAAATGTGAATCTTTTTCACTATAATGCACTTAAAAAAAAAGCTATTGGATAATCTAAAAAGTTTCGAGCTATTCGTGAGATCAATAATTCCAAATTTATTTCATTCAAGTAATCTGCGTTCACATGGAATTCAACTTCTCTTACTATTATAAGCTCGATGTTTTTTCGATTAACTAATACTTTATGTTTAGGTATTTCGTTTCTTCATAAAAGTTACTCATCCATTACGTATAAAACTCCTATTATTTTATTAGGCCCTGAGTGCTAAACATCGAAGCAATAAACACCATCAAGATATTGAAATTACCGAAGCTGAACCATCTCGCACTCCCGAAGATTCGGTTTGCAGTAACGAAGGCCCTGCGGAGACTTATGCCGATCTTTCTGGCGTCTCCAAAACGGCTGGTTCTCAGGCTGTTGCAGCTGTGCAGAGCAAGTGAATATATTTGCTGCACAGCCGAAAATTACTTTTAAGATTAAATATGCAAAAGTGTTGAGAAAAAAAACTACTATTAAGGGAACGACTATGTTCGCCACGCAAATATAAGATAAGAGTTGGAAAACGAAGCAAAAAAGAAAAGCCCTTTTCGCCTTTTAGGGCGCATCTTGAAACACACTACTTGAGAAGGGTAAATGATAATAATTTTTTTTTTTCTTTAATTTGGATAAATCGGTTGTAGCGTTCGTATAACATAAGTTTTCTTGAGACAAGTGACTTCAAATTTACATTATTCTTTAAAGATGTGTACTTTTCTTTCACTATTTTAGACGATTTTTTGGGTCGCTGCTCCTTTATTGTTTTGTTATAACTTTTGCAATATCTGCGCGTTGTAAGAAAATGTATTTATAAATATATATATATATAATGTTAAAAAAGATTGGATAAAAAATCTCGTGAAATGCGACGGGCAAGTTTAATACTTTTGCTTGCCTGCGTTTTGATTACAACAAGTTCCATCAGCTTAGATTAAACAGTGGTTTAAGGCACAGTGGTGGCAAATTCCTTACCTGAATATACTTCAATAGTGAGAACATTACCAAGATCATGTAAACACACATAATTTGTCAATAAAACTATTGATTGTTTAAGCGATGGGCTTGAGGAAAAAGAAAGTATAGCACTGCAGAGGCAAATAAGAACTACAACGTCCTTGAGAATCAAGTCAAAATCAGTTTCAATTTTAGTGCTAAACTTTGAAGTGCAAATTTAGAAAGTGCCACAACATTGTGTTAAAGATTTTTATTTTCAGCCAGTTAAACAGCAAGCGAATGAAGTGCTTATAAATATTGCATATATAAGTCGGCTTGTCCTTCAAAATTCAATTTCAGCTGTCAATTACGTTGTAATGCTCGACCAAGGTCCGTCTGAAAAGCAAAACCTCTCCGCGAATACTTTGCACCTTGCGTTATGTTTCTGATATTTACAAATTAAACAGCAAAGTTATTATAATCCTGTCCTTGAGTAGTGGATGCAAAACGATAAAAAAAATAGAGAAAGACAATTGATTTACTTTATATTATGCAGGATTAAATGCATTTCATATTGTTTACAGTTGATATAGCGAAAGAGATGAAGAAAAAACATTAACAACAAAAAATACAATAAAAAATAAAACAAAATTATTATGTACATAAAAAAAATATATTGTGTAGCTAGAAAGCATAGAAAAAGGAAGGGAACGGACTTTATTAAGGCATTTCAGTTAGGAAATACCCACCTTTACAACGTACGCAGCAAGAGATTTAAGCACATTAAGTTGAGTCAGAACTTACGTATTCGAAAACAGTTTCCATTCTAAATCAAGTGATTATAATTTTTTTAGTTTCTTCTAAGACACTATATTATTTATAGACTGTGTAGCAGGTTTATGCGGCAGGGCGTAATCTGTCTTTAAATGATTATAATAACAACAAGTTGTGTAATATTTGAGCTTATTAGAAATGCGTTAACGACTAAAGATTATATCAAATACAAAAAGTTTTTTCCATCCTCTTACTCCTTATTAGATTATATTATTCCATATTTAATCGTAGCAAAATTACGGTGGAATCGCTCATTAATAATAAATCGACGTTCTTTGCCATTTTTTGATATCCTTTTAAATGTTCACAAAAAAGATATATTCCTCTTCAGTTTTTTATTATCAATGTTTTAGCTATTGAAAATTTAATTTAATTTATGGAAATGTATTGATAAACAGTTTTTACGTGTCTTAAGTTATCTATAAATAAAAATTTGTGTAGATTTTTGTAAATTTGCTACGGTGTTGGACATATTTATAAAGATCGAGTCTACCCTTATGGATAATGTGTGTTACATTACTATCAGAAATCCAATGTCGTAGAAGAAACAAATGAAAAAGAAAAGCGAAAATCTATATTCGCTTTCGGACGAATCTTGGATACTCACCACCTAGTTTTAAAGTAAACGACTTTTTTTATTCATATTATAGGGCGTGTCGTCTTATTCTACCTTCTAAGCACAAGCATATTTTCAGTTAACTTTCATCACATCACTGAATGTTGGTTGGCAGTGGCGCCAAATTCTGCGTTTTGTCTGAGCCCTCGACAATTCCAACGAGCACAAATTGGGTTTTGCATATAAACAATTTTACGCCATGATCAGGATCGAATATTTATGACGAAATTCTTTAAACGTTAGTAGACTTTAAAAATTGAAAGGTTAAAATAAACTAGAACCGATGTCGTAAAAGAAAGACTCACATTGCTGCGACTCCCTCCTTTATATTATTTTTAAAATCATTTACACAAGCCACGACTATTTGAAACCTCGTCTCAATTCGTTGCGCAGGGCGAGAATTATTTTATTCAAGCGTTTGTCGTGGCTTACCAAGTGGAACCAAATATTACGCTCCAATAATTTTTTAAAGCCTACTTTCTTATTAATTGCATTTTTCAGCATTATTTCCATTTGCACTCAGCTTTTTAGCTTTCTCTCTTTCTCTAAATTCTTCTCTTTACGACCGAATCCAAAATTTTCGTCTTCTTTCTTCTTGTAAATTTGTAGCATTATTTAGTAAAGAATTTTTTATAGAGCATTTCTTATGCACAAACATAATATTCTAAACTCTTACGACTGTGTTCATCTTCAGGAAAAATCTAGTTTATTTAAAAAAAAACTAAAAATATTGCCGCTTCGAACTTACAATGAACTATTTGTTATAAAATTATAGAGAATTCCAAACCAAAAACGGTTCCAAAAATCCTGTTATAATCCTTTGCGTTCATAAATTAAATTTTTAGCCGAAATCACTTTACAGATGATGAGTATCAAATATTCGGACCACATTTTCTTATTTTTTAAACAAATACTGAAAAGCAAGTTTTTTTTTTAACAACACTTCACATGATGGATACGCGTACGTCCGTGCTTATGTAGTCAAAAAAAAAAATAGTGGAAAATATATATGAAAGTTGCTTTCTTCTCCTTAAAAAACACGGATTATCATTTAAGGCAAATGTAATCGAAAATCTCCACGTCAAATGTCACATGTATTGTATATGTATGTATTATAGACAAGCTTTCCAATAAGTGAAAAATAAATAAATGAAATACATGAAACATTAATTTAATTGCATTCAATCAATTTGATCAATTTAATCGATTTCGTGCGCTATTCATTTTAAGGTCTTCTGACATTTTAACATGTTTCAGAATACATATATGCTAAGCAAATGACATCAAGTAGCAAAGTCATATTCGCCTTGAAGCGAATCGACCGGCCACAGGCATTTTACCTAGAACAGCAAATCAACAATTTTTTAAGGACTTAACTCAAACTGTAGTAAACATTGTGAGATCTTTTCGAGAAATTGTTTTGGAAATAAGTAGAAAAATTATATTCGGATGTCGGTGAGTTGTTCATATTCACCACATTTATTTAAAAGAAACCCCAACAAATTAAAATTGTGATAGCATATAGCAATCGCTTTATCCATTTTTCTACAAGTGTTGCCCAGGAAAGAAAACTTCCTTTATTGTATACATTGCAGTTTATGAGCCATGAGCACAAGATCAAATTATTTTTCCTTTCAAAATAGACGTGTCCTCAACGTATACTCTGCGGCAGGTCCCCATTCAATCTTCCAACATTTACACCCAATTTGAAATGGGATGCCTACAAAAGCATTTGCAGATGCGCAACCGGACAGACCTAGATCGATTCAGAATCTGATACTGAGAGGTATACTTCATAGTGTTTCTCACACTTCCGCCTGGGTGTTGTAAACGATTCGACAGAATAACTATATCCACATATTTTGGCGGTAAAAATGTCACGAAGATTTGGCATTCTTTTTTTCGAACGAAGATCAATCATAGATTCGATTAATTATTTTTTTTACAAAAGCCTATGGTGCTCATTAGCAAATCTTATTTTAAAGCTGTAGCTAATTTTGAAGACAAGTAAATTAAATCAGAAGGAGAGGGAAAGACAGAGAAATGGTAAGGTAAAGAAATATGTTTCAGTTCTGAGTTTCAAGTTCCAATTTAGAACGAAAAACCCCTATTGAAAACGATTCGAAATGGACCGATTTTCCGACCACTCTCCATGTAACGCCTTGTTTTGAAAAGTCGTTGTATGAGAAAATAATACAATTTGGAAAAATTTCGAAGAAAAATCGCTGAATAATAGTATTACGGCATCATGTGTGAAAAATTTCATCGGATGAGACAATTTTCGGAACTGCCGGTCACTCAGCTGTTTCTTCGAAAACTAAATATTTATATGACAAGATAGCCTAATTTTGAATGATTCTTTGTGAAAATTGGTTCATAGTAATAATTTGGGATAAAAATTAACCTTACTGAATATAAACCACTTAGGTCTATTTCCGGATCCCATCTCATGTAGAGATTCTAGCGATATGTAAGCCCTTGTTTAATGGGAATGTCCAATTTCAAAATGTGTTCTTAATAGTAACTTAACATAAAAATTTCGATGCTTAATACATTATTAGGAAAATGATCCATATTATTAATGTAGAACAAAAATTAAATGTAAATAATCATCATCATGTCATAGAAGTTTACTTTTTGAACCCCAACATACCAAGGAAGCCTGAATTGGATACATTGTTTGTCTTACAGGAATGTATGATAAGCTTTTGGAAATATTCAAAGATTTTGAATGTTCTCTGTGAGCATACGCCATCAGAACTTAATGGAAAAGTATCACCCAATTACTCGGCCCCATGTAATAGTCAACATAATAATTTAATGCCCTTAAATCCTGCTATTGACACACGCGAGCCAACTTCATTGTTAAATCCGGGGGAACGATGTACAAACGAATGGATGCTGCTGCTTTTTCCATATCGTTATCCTGAAATATTAGTGTTAGCCTTGAAAATATCCCACCTAATACCCTCGTATCGTTTGCCCCATACGCTCTCGCTTTCAAATACGGACTACTGTCACCAGCTTTGTCATCCCAATGCGCGGAATTTCTGTTTCCTATGAGAACATTGCATTCTGTCGATTTGTCCCTCGATAACCTAGGTGCCATACAATTGGGAAACTCAACCCCATCCATGGGATTGAGATTTATTAACTCCTGGCGCACACGCTTTGCTCCTTGCTGGTTTGGATATTGCATGTGGTTTTGATGGCCTATTGGTTCCACCTTACGATCAATTCACCTTTGAGGACGCATGCGATCAAGACATGCTGCCTTTATAAAACTACAAAGTTTAATTGGTAATTTTTTTTTTTATATAATAAAATCTTTGACAATCAAATTAAGTTTGATAAGTTTGGACAATGTCAGTTGGTACTTGGAGCAGTCTCTTATATGTGGGCTTTTAAAAAATGGGTGCATAAAAATAATGGTTAATTTTTGATGCATTATCAGAAAAATGAATGAATGAATTAGATGTGGTGGTGAAGAATATCTAATGACGGGACTTGCCCGGCTACGATCATCTTTGTTTCTAGTAATTTGTGAATTATACTATGGAAGCTGAAGTAAAAGGTATCAATTACAAAAAGGTTTTATTTTTATTACTCTTTGTAGTGCTATGGGTTGAGAATAAAACTATTATATCCTTTTGTTTTCAGAGATAATGTCGTTTTATTTAATAAATTTTCTTTTCTTGCTACTGTAAGCTATTAGCTGTTGTTGTTCTTATTGTTGTTATTGTTGTAATTCGTTTTCTTTTTTAAATAATTAAATTTAATTCACTATGGTATCGCGTATATTAGGTGTTCGTGCATGTGTAAGTAATTTTACAATTCGAAATAATTTTATAATTTTCTACAAAAAGTTATTAATTTTATTGTTGCTCTCCTGAATTATTTTTTAATATTTATATATGTGTGTATATAAACTTTATGCAATTTGTTTTTTATGTGAATGTAGCAGAGTAAAATATAGAGTAAAATATTGGAACGAATAGCGTAGTTAAAAATTGTAAGAAAGTGGGATTCTTGGTGTTTTTGTGTTCTTAACCATTTTTCGTTACTAAACAAAGCTAAGGGTGTCGATTATTGATTTTATCTACAAAAACTTACGAAGTGCTGGAATTAACACGAATTAAAGAAACTTTCTAACCGGATGGATGAACGCTCTACCTTTCGGGTCTTTGTTTAACAGCATTGCTGCTATATTACTTATATGTGCATATATATATGTATATATATACCATATATATACTTTTTTGGTTTTTAATTTTATTTTTAAAGTACGATTCTTTTTACATATACCATACATGCACATACATGTACGTACGTGTTCTGTTAATATTTATATTAATATATAGTGTTTGTTATAAAAATATTTATTTTAAAAAGTTACTTCCTTAAAATTTATTGTTTTCGTTAAAATAAAAATTTTGTTTGTGCATTTGAGTTATTAAAGGAAGATCAATTGAAAAAAGAACTAACATCTCATCAGCTAAATTAAAAAATATAAATCGGTTAGCACACTAGAAAATCGATTTCGCAATTAATTGACGACATTTGCTAAGCCCGTGTACAAGTCAAAAACTTTATATAACTTTATTACGCTCAACACTGAAACTGTATTAAATTTGTGAACTGTCAGAAAAACATTGAAATATTTATTATATTTCCGATGCTAGATATTTATTTATTTAATCACAACTGTATGCCATTTTCAATTATATTTATAACCTCAAAATTTTATCTAGGAAAGCAAACTAAGTACTAATATTTCACTTCTTGTTTGCGTCAAACTCCAAACACCACGAAAATCGTCTCAACCATCCATCCATCAATCGGCCAACCATCAAGTACCAAATATATATAATATTCTTATATAAATAAGAAGCAACGCTATGAAATGGCTTTTAGCTTCTACAATTATCTTGAAAGCGACTATCTTCTTGCAATCAAATATCGCATAGAAATTGGCGGGCATCAAACCGAACGAAACATTTAAGATAGGAAAAAGTATTAGAAAGCTTCATGTGCCTACTTGCACACATTTAATATCTCCAAAACATAATAATTTTTCGAAATTTTTTCCGAAGAGAAAAAGAAACTGTATTTGTAAGTTTACTCATTGGAAGTTCATGACTGTACAAGGAAAGTTTAAATTTGAATAGAGTTACGAAATATTCTATAAAGGCCCGATTATCAACAGTTTGAAAAGGTTCAGAGAAATGGCCAAATTATAAAAAGCCAACGTCACATTGGTTATGGATTTCTAAAAAATTGCAGTAAAAAAATGTACATTATTTGGATTCCAACGCATTGTGTGCCATTTCTCTCTTAATGAAGTTTTATACATTTCTAATTGCTTAAGCGGTTTACGGTATGTTTGTGCAAAAAAAGAGCATTTTTGTGGTAATCACATAAAATGCAAGAACAGTTTTGTGATTCGCCTCAAACTAAAGCCATGAAGATAGTCTAAAAATAATATTCGAGTTTATAAGGGGGTTGCTATTAATTTGCTTGCTTTAAGAAAATTAGTTAATCAAAAAAAGCTTTTTTCTTCTATTTTTTTTTAAAGGCTGTAGCGATTTTTTGTGCTATGTTTGTTTTAATTAGTTTTTAAAGTTTTACTTTTATCTAAAAATTTGTCTTGAGCTTTTCAGTGTTTTTTACAAAATGTCAACATCATGCTTTTTGGGTTTAGTATAGTTACAATTGTATACAATATAAAAATAACAAGTTTTCTACAAACAACAACAAAATATAAATTAGAAATTAAAAGATTATTTCCAAACATGTTAGTTTCAGTGCTTTACCATAATGAAGGATAAAATAAATCAAAAGATCAACTTAAACTTAAACAGAGATATGAAGGCGTAGGTGTAGAGATAAACGTTGTAAAAACCAACCGAGATCCTGCTCTGTTGAGATGTTGAATATACATGTTAAAAAATAAAAAGAAGTCCCTCAGTGAAATTATTCTCTATTAACAATTTTTTCACGATTTTTGTTTAATTTAATAACAATTGAAGCAAGACGACAAATAACTTTTAATAATAATCTTAATTATAGGCTTTGATTTCAACATATTTTGAAACGAAAAACATAAACAATAAATAAAATGAATAAATCGTTAACACACACTATTTTTCGTAAAAGAAATTAAAGAAAAATAGAATCACAGAAGATGTACAGAATAAAGTCCTATTAAGATTGAAAAGTTTTTCTTCAGGCCATATCCATATGGTTCTCGCTTATGAATACTTTTCATTTGTAATGACTGTATTCGACACGGAATATATATATATATATATATATATATATAGATTTCTCGGGCAACCTTAAAGTACTGGGTTCCACCATTGTATACATGTGAGTGTGTGCTCGTATGTGTAAAGAGTAAGAGTATATCAATCTCATTTAAACTTATTTCTTTAAGTGTATCGAAAATGTTAGAAAACTCCCATTATATTGCTCATCTGCTCATTTCATGGTGATGTTGCTATTGTTGCTGTATTTGTTGTAACGCTACTGCAGCGGTAGTATTGGTAGTGATTTGGCGGCCTCTTCTGGTACTACCATTCGGCCTTTCCTAAAGCGGATGCAATTTTGTGGTATGTACTGTGAGAGCACTACGCTGCGTGAAACGTTTTTCACAATATGGACAGGTGTAGGGCTTCTCACCGGTATGTGTGCGTATATGTTTAGTTAGATAATCTTTAACACTGAAGGCTTTTTCACAATATGTGCACTGAAAAGGCTTTTCACCTGTAAATATAATTTAAAAAATATACATTTTTTAATTTCGGAAATCAAAGTTCAACGTTTGTAAATAAAGATTTGGATGGTTAGACAATTCGTCTCACGTTTTTAATTCTGTATTTACGCAGTTTCGATTGAACAGAGAAGTAGTGTAAATTTCAGTTTTATACGATTTCATCCAACTTCGCTAAGCTCACAAAATTGATGTACATCTTAGAAAAATGTTTATTTACGTAACGTGGTACCGGAAAAATGTTTTGCCGCTAGTAGGCGAAAAAGTTGCTGTATACCGTTGCTATGAACATTTCGAGAGTTTAATTTCAATAGATTTTCAATACTTTTTGCATTTTGAAGTTTCAAAGATTTACATCGTTTCATAAACTGTAATAATTTGGGACGCAGAAATAGTCAATGTTTTGAGCGAACGAATATATCAACGGTAGTTTACGAAACCATGTGGCGGACGTTTTCAATTTTAACATGCTTTTTGTTTTATCCGGCTTGTAACTAGGTATGTCCATCAAAATAACGACTTGACGAGTGTAGGCATCGTTCAAAAGAAAATAGCTTACGCAAAAGTGAAATTGCAGAAACAAAGTAAGTCGCTCTTTTCTACCAGTTGCTGCACATGACGATCGAATCACAACTTTAACCAGTTCTAACTACTCTGAGATGGACGCAAAAGTTGAGCATAAGACTAACAAGTGATTGCACCCTGTTAGTCTTATGTTTCTTTCTGTTTCGACAATTTCTTGTCAAAAATGTTCCCGATTTTTCTTACGGATTCCAAAGCCCCTTTTTTTGTTGGCTTTTTCTTGAACGAATTTACCGTGTAAAAATAGAATTAGTTTCACTTTTATCCAAATCTTTGATTTTTCTTTTTTACATTGAAATGCAATAATAGAATTTTGATATTGATGTGGTGATCGTGAAAATTTATATGCAAAGTAAACATTTAATTTAAATAAAATCATAACGATCTGAATGATCTGTACACATACACAATGTAAAAAAAAAGTCAAGTGTGTCTGTTTAAATGGACGTGAATATGAAGTTGTACAAGCAATAAGATTGTTTAAGATATGTTTCCAAGATGAACTCGATATATTCCATATTATTTGGCTAGAATGTTAACCCACTAATGAGCTTTCGAATTTTGCTTTTCTTTTTGTTTTGAAAAATCCGGGTGACTGACTGATTGATTGATTGTGGTTGAGAGCTGATTTTGGCTTTGATTGATTGATAATTGATTGAAGAGCTGAATTTTTTGTGGTGGTGGTGGTTTTCATTTGAAAAATTATATTCTCTCACCCGTGTGAGTCGTTAAATGTTTATTCAAGTAGTCCTTGACTGTGAACGCCCTGCCACAATAGCCACATCTAAAAGGTTTCTCACCTGTGTGTATGCGCGTGTGCTGCTTTAGCGTGTTCGATTGTGTAAAAGACTTGCCGCAATATGAACATATGTAGGGGCGTTCTTTGGGTGTAATTCTATTAAAAATCAGAAGAAAAAAAACGGAATGTAACATGAATATTTTAATGAAGCTACATCGTTTTAGCGATTTGTTATGGTCTCTTTTTACACAGCCATCTGATTTGAATCATTTATGGCATGCATAACAAAATGCTAAAATAAATCATAGCAACATAATAAATTTGATTACTCTGCTTCTCCAGTGTGCACTTTGCGATGCATTGCCAATGTGCTAGGCGTTTTAAAAGTTTTCGGACAATCGGGACACTTGTGACGCACCTTGCTCGCGGTACTAAGCGTGGTGCTATTGATAGCTGTAGCAGCAGTAGCCTGAGTTGTACTAACTACCACACTGGTAGTAACAGATGGTGTCTGTTGGATGGTATATACGGGCACTGATGTGGGCGAGGCATCGTTGCCATCGCCATTGATCGGTTCTTGTTTAATTATCACATGCGGATGCATCACAGAGTTGCTATTCACATTTTTGTTCAGTTTGACTGTTAATGGTGGTACTTTTAATTCCACATCATTCAGTCGATTGTCTCTAGTTTGTTGTTGCTGTTGCGGAGCTTGAGGTTGTGATAGTGGCACTTGTTGTTGTTGTTGTTGATATTGACGTTGTGTCAAATCATGTGAGGATAATTTCATACCCTGAGATGTCATCGCGGGTATATTATCGGATGCTTGATTTTCGTATGCGGGTTGACTGGCTGATAAATTTGCAGCAGTGCACACTGAGCCACAATGGACACATTTAAACTCACTGGTTTCTTGTAGCGCGGTGGCCGATATACCAAAGAAATTGCATGCCGGACAACGAGTCAGAAAAGCAGGTGCTTGATGTATTAAACGATGGTGTTCGTCTAATTCTTGCTCCGTAGAGAATTTATCATCACAGCTATGGCAGGGGTAATCAATTTTAATGGGGTCAGAAGGGTTTGCACTCACGTGATGTGGTGCCAGCAAAATACTGCCGCCACCCACGCCTGTTACGACGCTTAGACCACCATGGCAAAGATGCATGTGTTCGGTTGCTTGCTGGGGACCTTCAAATTGTTGGCCGCACATTGGACAAAAGTGAGCTGTTGCCACGATAGCTGGATCCATGCTTAAGTTCGGTAAAAAAGACGTCTTTAAAGCATCCATTGTAGCTGGTGATTGAGTTCGAGTGTGCTCGGGGCGTGGCAGACGCAGTTCCTGAGCATTTGAAGGAGATTTTAGCATGTCTTTAAGCCGTAAATGGCAATATGCAATCACAAGCGTGTGATGGGAGTTAGTTGGCGTTAGATCGGGCTTTTACCCTTAGCAGAGCGCAAAATATACAAATAGATCAACGAAAACAGCATCAATAAATGATTAACTTTTTATATCAAAAATTTTACAAATGTGTACGTATGCGAAAATCGCAATTATTGTATGCTTTAGTTGTATTCATATGCACCAATCTCTCTTAAGAATCATGAGGCGAGACAGTAGCAATTAAGAAAGAAAAAGGGCAAGTGTTTTCCCCACCACCGCAATTATCACTTCAGACAGAGAATTCAACATTCATACAGTTCGATTGATACAGCACATACACTCTCGCACGCATTCACTTTCACACAAACCGTTTTTAATTCATCCAATTTCGGGTATGAATTTCTACAACAGAATAATTTTCCATACCTATAGCCAGATGGAAAATGTTGCTAACCAGCAACTTACCAACTGTGCTTTGATATTTACATTTAGTAAAAAACCATTTACTGTATGCCTTTTGGCGCTAGCTTCGCTGTTTTTATTACTTCTCTCTACTTTAATTTCACTTTTTAACAAAAAATGCAAATATATTCGGCAATATTCTATTCTACAATCTAAATTTTCCCAGCAATTGCGTTACCAGATTCAAAATATTTTTGAACAATCTCCGAGAATGTAAATTTAGCGTTTTAAATTATTTCGTGTAAATTGCTAATGTAACACCAACGATTGTTAATATAACAGAAAGTAGCGTGTATTTTGCTAGGTTTTTTAACGACTTTTAAAGTATTATTTCTATGACGAATCCTGTTACAACCTTACTCGAAGTACGTCGTTATCTCGGTGCTACACTTTCATAAAATTTATTTAAATTTTTCTTTTTCAACTTTTCTTCTTCTTCTTCTTCTTCTATTCAACAAATCAGCAACGGAAAATACGCTGAGATGTGTAGAAAGATCCCAATGTGAACATACAGTTCTTTGTTTGGACCTTAGTAAAGAAGGGTTCGATTTGATATATAATATTATCATTTATTCATTTAAGTGTTTATTTGATTGAAGTTTTTTTAATTTTGCGTAAATTTTTATCAAGAAGCGAAAAAAAATCTAATCTCCTTCTGCCTGTACGCGTTCATCTTTAAAAATGTCAGCCAATTACTCCCCTTGAACCTAAGATTATTATGTAGCAACCACCCAAGATGGAGAAACTTCTTAATGAAATCTTCAACACTTTGCTATTAGTGAGGAAGACCATCTTAAAAATCCATCCGTCATAATGTGCGCTTTCACATCCAGCTACGCAAAGCTATAACAATCTGAGTCTAGGATAACTTTAAAGCCGTCAAGTAATAACATATTACCTCCTTTTTGCAATATAGTAGCTAAAGTTCCAGAGGTAAAGACTACTCTCTAGATTTTTTTTAAACTCTGAGGTAACCGATTTTGTTATTCTTTCTTCTTATCTAATGATAGCGTGTCAGATTTGAAAGTGTCAAACCATGTATATGTACCTATAAATGCCCTGGCGGTTAGTTTTATCCTACTAATGACAATACGTTGTTGCGCCAGCATTAGTACGCAGCGTAATACGAGAAGAACCGCCTCTGAGGTCGTATTCTGGGTGGACTATAATGATAAAAATGTGGCAATCGCATTGCATGGCTTTTGAACCATTTAACGATAACCATTTTTTAAGATACGACAGTGGAATGTGATGGCAATGTTTTATTGGAACATAACAAATGCAGGAGGATATCATCATCTTTATGCCGCATTACTTACATTTAAAAACATTATTTAATACTATGACAATGGCTACAATCAATTGCGAACGACTTTTTGTAAAGATGGCGTTGCCGAACTTATTAAAAAAGGAAACGTGTTTAAGTAGGATCCAAAATGTACATTCTCAACTTCAGTCTCAAATAACAGGGCCAAGGCTCTGTTCAATTGTATAAACTCCAGCACCTTTAATTGTCTGAACGAGTCCTTACCCATCTTTCTTCACTCTAACGATGGTACTACTTTTCGGCGATTTCATATCTTGCAAAATGTTGTTCGGTCACTTATCCAACTTAAATTTGGAGCACGACATACTTTCAACCCCAAACGCTTTTTATTGCGAAATCAACGCTGATCAAAGCCACAGTGGATTGCTTCGCTTTTCGCGATCTTCAGCAGCCTGCAGACCTGCAGGCAAAAATTCCTAAGGTACGCAAACAGTCAACTTTGACAATCTCAAAGAGATACAAAAAGATTGGAAGTCGGGAGTAAGAAAAGCGAAAAGAAAGCATCGAGATCGTTTTGGAAATTAAATTATTAAATACGCCGTTTGTTGCTGGCTACGATGGTGTTAAATACGACATGCTAATAATTCTCTCCGTTTCGTTTTTGTCTGGGAGGTATAGCGAATTCGAATCAAGAAAAGATGAATTTGTTTACAAATCAATGGAAGTTATAGCGAATTCAAATCAAAAACAGATGGAAAATTTTTTCCTTCGAGATTTTTACATTTACATATTCCATATTAGATTAGACTTCAATCTCAACAAGACTGTCTGCGTTTTGGGATGCCATAAATCAACGTTGGACAAACAGCATTATTTCAAATAGGTTGCACCGGTTCCTAAGTTTGACAAAAATCTTGACCCATATCTCTACACTTTGTGTTTATGGAAGTTATGCATTTCATGAGGAAGGAAAGATTTATGAGTTATTTGAGCACTCGAAATCGAATTCCTGTTCGCTCCTTCATCGGGCAAAAGCATAAATCGTATGCATAGCCGAAGTCGCTTTCGCAATATCGAACGATTAGGACGACGGACATATGGTTGTAATGCTCTTTTTAGAGATCCAGAAAACCTATAATTGTATTGGTTTAGAGAAACTAGAAAAATTCAAAGAGTTTTTGAAATATCCTTGCACTTGAGAACTTCGATCTTGGATCTTGGAATTTCATCTTAACTCGTATGCTACTTATGAGGTCTGATTCGGTTCAGGTGCAAGCGGGTTTGCCTCAAACTGCCTGAGCCCCTCGTTTTCAATGTATATACAGCTAATTTAATCGACTTCAAAATAACAGAGCCCACATATTTCAATGCGATGGTGACTTTTTGTTAGTCTAGGCGAAGAGCTCGTTTTATGAAGCAGTTAATAATCTTGTTTGCAAAGCCAATTTCTTTTATGATGCTTGTGCTGATTTAAACATGTTCTTCAATCCCAACCACACAAATGCGATCTATTTTGCAAAAGGGTTCAAGAAAATTGTCAATATTTTCATCAATGGTACACTTGCCAAGTAATAAACTTAGTTTAAATTCGTTAGCAGGATTATTTATGCAAGTCTAACCTTCCAAAGACATTACTTGGAAAATTTTAAATACTCTCAGTGTGGATCAAATATCATCAAACTCATGACTAATCTTCCCGGAAGAAACCAAAAATCCGTACAAATCCGTAGTCCGATCGAAAATCGATTCTGCGAGCTGTATGTCACTAGGAAATAAGATCTTACCTAAACAATGATTTCACAATCCCTGGGACTGATGGTTCTGTTGGTCTTGCATATTCCAGGTTCTCGCACCTTGGAAAACTGGTAGGCAAATTCAAAGTTTTGGAGTAGCTGCCTTCAACTTTTATTCTTGAATTTCTTGATATCAGACAAGCCATTTTTTGGTCAAGTCGAACTGCATTAAAAAAATCGCAATATTTTCTGACACCAAATCGGTCTTGGTCTTACTCTCATTCATGAACGTCACCTGTTCTGGATAACGGACTATTGTGGTTTTATCTTAAATGGCTAATATGCATGCACGAGAAGCATTTTGATGTTATAACCATAACACTCAAATGCGCTCCTGAAAAAGCTTTTCGATTGATTTGGATTAATTTCATATACGATTGGAAGGACAGATGTCATGAAATAGCACAGGCAAAAAGTGACCGCCTCTTTTATAAGGGTCATTCCTTCATGACATCCATATATCTAACTCATATATTGAGTTTGGAATTTATACTATAGGACCAGAAAAGTATACTATACGACCAGAAAGTATACTATACGACCAGAAAAGTATACTATACGACCAGAAAGAAAGAATTCGTGTAAAACAAGTGTATTGGCAAACCGTGTTATTTACAAATATATACACAAATATCTAAACAAATATTTATTCATTTAGTTTATTCATTTTAATCGAAATATTCGATTGGAAATTAAATATAATCAACGGTAATCGAATTAATTAAAAGAAACAGCTGTTCTTAACATGCTTGCGCTACATTTTCTTTTAGGTTTGTTGTTACAAAATAATTAAGTTTCAAATGATATAAGGGTCCCAAGTCTTGCGTGTAGTTTTTACAGTCATACTGCCGCACACTGATCCAAATCATCCACTATTGCATGTTCGTCTTGTTCAATCTAAAGTGGGTAAACGAGTAGTGGTGAACGGTTATGATTGTTCATGACATATGAGCCTCTGTCGAATGCCATCTTCACGACATGCGAAATTAAATACTCACCGGACTCGTGATTAATCCGCATATTTATTTAAAAATGACCCGAGCAATACCATCTCATATTTGCAAGGAGTACGGCACGTCAGAATCACCTCGGCATCTCATTTTTGGGTGCAGAAAATCTGATATCATTAGATAGCCTTTCAATATTTTCAGCACATATAACAACCTTTATAAAATCTTTCGCGCTGGCAGCAATTCTTGTGTCAATCAGCTGACTTCTTTTATCAAAACTGCTGAGCTCTCGTTTTAATTCAACTTTAGTCTATTTTAAATATTTCTGATCATTTGCGGTCTATTTGTTGGTAATTTCTCCCTTGTCTATTTAACATTCTAAACCAGCCAAAACTTGCAAGCAAAAACAAAAAAGGAACTCCGAAGAAGAACGCCATCATCAATCAATTCCATTATCATTTACGCAGAAGATCAACACATAATCACGCTACTGAGTATATAGTCAAAACGCCTAATCCAAACAATTAAATAAATCAAACAAAAAAAAAAAAAAGATGGCAGAAGAAATTGATGATAATGGATTTTACAGAGAAGATTTTAGTGCTGAATCTGATTGGGAGATATTTAACGCTCAGATGTGCGAAATATTTCAGACATGGGAACTTTCCACTTCGGATGATTGGAGCCGAGAATTTAATGTTGGTGAACTTTTTAATTGCAAATGGCACGTCAAGGAAGAGAATTTAAAATACTTGGATAAAAAAATTACTTTAACATATTACAAAGCAGATTTAAAGACGCAGGATTTAAATCCTATTGATAAAAGTAAACCACCATTACACGTTGATTTGATGTCACGAAATAACACGTTTAGCCCGTCGATGATTGATAGTCTGCAGCCGAAAAGAGTTATGCACACTCTAGCGCGATATTATGGGCTACGACGTTTTGTGTTACTGCAAGTTGTAGATAGCCAAGGAGCGCATCTTAATAACCATTCGGATTTTGGTATTACTAGCTTCTTGAGCTCGATTTTTGTTGTAACAGCTGAGTTGAATTGGTCTGTGCCAGTTTTTTTGCAAATTTTTCATCCTACTTGGTGTTATTTTGTTGGGGTGGGCATGACATTTAATATGCGGACGAATTTCGATGCAGTCTCCTTACATGAGGCTCCAGAGCGAATGCGATACTTATCCGGGCTACTCAAGATATTTAAAGAGAAAGTTCCTCACAGCTATGAAAAGCCAGCTATAGTGTCGGTGCAAAATATTTACGATTTAGACGAAATTAGATTAAAAGTGCCAATGTATGTTCCATTTGACTTGAATCCACTGGAAGCCCGCGTTATAAGCTTATCTCAGTTTACAGCTCTTCCTCATGGTTATTTTTCGGATTCTAAATCAGATATATATGCCATTTTTACGTGGCCAGAGATGGCAGAAAACACAGCAATTGATTCCGAGCTTCAGACCCAATTTACACCTTCGAAAGCGCACTGCGGCTTCGTTCAGTTAATGTCGCATGCTACTTCTTACTTGAGTTCTTGTTTGAGTGACTTTAAAAAACTAAGCGAAGCTAAAAGTATTCTGCAATCCTATGTAGGTCATTATTTTTCAAATGCAGCTGCAATAAGTGATTTGGAAAATCGTTTAACTAAAACCAAACTAATGAAAAAGCGTTCAGCTATGCAACAGGAAAATTACTATAAATTATACAAAGAAACTGAACAACAGCCACAAAAAAGGATTCCTGGTCCTATGACTGACCATGTGTTAAATCAAATGTTGTACTATTTATTTCCTGATATGCATCCGGAAAAACCCTTATTTCCCTATGAGACACCACAGGTACGTATTATGTGCGAGCAGAGAGATTTTTGTGAATATACAAGATATATATTTTCAAATACATAGCGCGATCCTCATCGCATAAAATCCGCCAAGCCGGATTCGCTAGTGCAGCGTTTAAGCTGCTTGTTGGCCACATGCAACGCTCATTTTGGTGGTGAAAGAGGTCTGGTTCAAATGTGGGCCTCTTTTATTAAAGAGTTACGTTTTCTGTGGGACAATTGTTTACCCATTCCAGGGTAAGTACACTTTCAAATATTTTTCTGTAGTCTAACAGTTTTGTTTGCACCTAATTCTAAAGAATAGAGATTTATTAGATATGTCTTTTCGAAAACTTGCATCAGCCGTTCAATAAAGTACATGAGATTATTAATTGGTAACATTCCTTATCGACTTCGTCTTGCCTGTTTCTCTATCTTTCTGTTACCCGTTCTTAAAAAAATTGAGGATTGAAATGAAGTCGAAACTTCGTCTGTGAATTTTTTATTTATAACGACAGATCAAGCGTGAGAGCAGAGATGATCCGTCCATAACGGCTTCGGAGTAATCCATAACTTAGCTAGTTTGTACGGTAGATATTACTCTAAAATGGGTGTAAATAATTCGAACAAGCTTCTAAAAGCCAAGAAACATTTTACATCTTTTATGTATATTTTTTATGTTCGTTATAAATACTTTTAGACAAGTCTTCTTAACTTATCGAAATATATCTGTATCTAACGGTATAAATTAGAAAGTTCTTTGACCAGTATTGTAGATTGAAGTTGATCTCATTTCTCATTTTATTTCCATAGCGTACTCAAATGCGATACTAGTTCATTAGGTGCAAATCTATTCTGGTTTAGATTGGCGAGTGTTCAAGCCAAAAGCATTACGTTACTTTTTTTTTGAGTGCGAAAGCAACTCCACGCCATTGAACTACCAGAAGGGACAATTTTCAAAAAGTTAGGAACCAAAGCTTTTAATGGGTTGAGATAAAATTGGAATGAAAAGAAGCTAAAAAAGTTGATTGAGAACTCAGAAACACATTGAAAGATAGGTTATTGTACCTTTCCATTACATAATCCGTTATTTGTATTCGTGTTATTTTATCTAATAGATTTCAATAAACATAATCACTCATCCCCGAACTCGTCGTAAAACCACGATTGGAATCCAGCAACGAATCTTTAAAAATTTAACTCAAGTTTTGTTAATTTTAAATTTCCACGCTAGTATTGCGAACATCATAAGTTTGTCTGTCCGCAAGAGAGAATTCAGATTTGCTTGAGATTGTCCGAAACATTTAAGTCTTTGTCTACCTTTGGAGTAGGTATTATTTTAATGCGTTGCCCATTAATCAGAATTGTTTGATGATATTGTTTGTTGATATTGTCTGTCTAGCAATAAATCAAAGCAAACAAAAAGGCTTTGGCCTTGGATGGCCCGAAAAAATCTCCAATCATGTTTAAACGTACTGATCTCCGCCTACTGGCCGTATCATTTTTATCTAACAGTTTTTTACGGAATCATCTGCCATTGAGAATGTTACATTTCCGTAGACAGCTTTTATTATCCCGTTCAATTCAGAAACATTTTCTGCATCGATTCTGATGTCTGCGCATGATTGCTATGTTCAACTTAAAGCCCGTGATTTGATATGCAGAGAGAGAGTTTGGCCGAGGAACGAATCCTATTGAAGCAGGATTGGATCGGACCATTTTCATTGCGCGTTCAATGATTTATTTTGAAAAAATCGAAAATATTGTAATGGGGCACGGCCTACCGTTAAATGCCGTACATCATCATAGCTATTCAAAAAAGTCAAAAAAACTGAAAGGCCGTGTTTAAATAGCGGCTTGATGATTCTCTTGTTTTAATTGTACATACAGTAAACATATGTTTTGGCTTATAAGGGCGCTATGTATGTGTTCGGAGGGAATAGCAGTAAAGCCGTATCAAACGATTTAATATGGTTTGGTATAAAGGAGAAATAGCGGAGTCGGGCTTACATTAATGAATAATTTCAAAATTACCAAATTCAGACTGAAAATCCTTCATAAAGAAATCGAAGATTTGAATACCGCTACGGTTATGAAAACATCACATGCAAATAGATTAATATTAAAATATTATTTTTATTTATAATTTTTAGTCTAAGAATTCTGTTCATTAGTCTAAAATTAAAATAATAATAATAATAATAATAAATAATATTAATGCAGTGTGTGGTCAATTTTGCTACTGTTGAGAATTACAAAAATTTGAATCCTTTTCAATTCTTTTCGATTCCATGTTTCAAGTAAAAAGTAGATGGTTTCCAAATGCGGTTATAGCGTGTAATTTTCCATTTCATCAGCATTAAAAATGTCGTATTTTATTTTTATGCGTATGTATTTTTATGTGATGCGGAGAAAGTAGAATAAATATTTCCAATATTTACATTCTAACAAGTGGTCACTCATTTAGTTACTCTCTAAAGTTTGCAGACTCGATTTTTCAATGCAACAGGCGATTGTAAACAAATGCAGACTGACTTTTTCAATTATTCTCAATTATGAAAAAATGCAGACTGACTTTTTCAATTATTCTCAATTGTAAACAAATGCAGACAGACTTTTTCAATATTTTCTCAGATGTTACCAAATTTTGGGTTCGCTCATTAAATTACTCTCAAATGTTTCCAAATTCAGAATCAAACAAGTGGTAATTCAGGCTCGCTCATTTAATTACTCTTAGATGTTTCCAAATCAGAGTCGCTATTGCAATCAAACAAGTGGTTTTCCAATCAAGTTGTATATCCATTTTTACGTGTAACATATTTAGAGATCATGAAATTCGTACTTTATTAAAATACAATGATATTTGTGTACATAGATGATTACTTTCTATTTTAAATATGTATATCACATTACGTTCTTTGAGATCACTATTGCATATAGAATATTTTTATAGCCGAACATGTTTGTATTTTAAATACATTAGAATTTACACAATTTTTATGACAATGTTCGTCGCTGTTCCGACCGTAATCTCTATCTTCTCCACCTGACCCTATTTTCGTTTATGCCATCACTTTCAATAATTCAAGTAATCACGAAAAAAATTTAAATATAGCATCAAATCAAATGCAAAATTTTGACATGCTCTTCAGTTCGTTTCCTTTCAATATTTTAAACCATTTAACCGATTCATCTTAGTAAAACATGTAGAAAATATACAACACAAACATTTTAATAGACATTTATTAAGCGTTTTCAACAATAGTCCAAAGTTGTCTTTTTCTAATCTTTTTACCTTTTAATTGCACGTTCTCGAAGTATGACATTTTTCCTTTTCTCCGCATTTTTTGACCACTCCACGCAAACGACCAAAAAATCGATCTCCCTTCTTATTTCACACTTAGATAAAAGTGCGGGGTTGCATTAATATTACAAAATATAATCACAAGTTAAAAATTCATTTATAAATCTCTGGACCGTCTGCGTAGAATTTCCTAACCATTTCGTATGAATTCAAACATACTGAAACGCGTCGTTACAGCTGTTTTATAAGTATCCTCTTCGGCCTTCGGAATCTGATGATACGCTTTGACCAAATCAAGTTTTGAGAAAATGTTGTTGTTCCCCAAGCTCCAGCTAATATGATTGATATACGTCAAAGTATACCGATCAGGAATAGTGGCACAGTTCAGCCGTCTAAAATTTCTACAAGGTCGACGCTCATTTAGGATGCGGATCGACAAAAGAACTGGATGGTTTACATATTCCCAATTTAAGCAAAATTTCAAACTCTGGCTTACCGATTTTATATTTGATAGGGTATAATTGCCTGGATCTTGAAAACGGAAGAAAACCTTCAGTCTGTAATTTGTGTATTGTCCTATGTTTAAGCGATTTTGTATTCTGATTCCGTGGCGAAACTCGGCTAATTTCTCAGTAATTCTAAAAATTTACTTTCTATTAAAAAAATTTTGCATTCAGCAGCTATGGCATTAAGAGATATTTTAGTTAATGAATCTACTAAGCGCTTATGTTTAACATCAATTAATCAACCGCACTTGCTGAAGGACCTCAGCAATCAAAAAAATGAGCTGAAACTAGCGGAAGAATCAGGTTAATATTTAACAATTTCTTACCATACGTATTCATGGATGAACCATTGGCTGTGGACAAGGTAATATCGGACGATTTCTTGTTATTCGAAAATTTGGGAGAAAAAAAAATTCTGCGCCACTATCCATTAGAAAATTTAATTTGTTTTGTCTATCAAATATAAACAGGCGACGTTGTGCATATTTAATACCTTCATAATTAACAGTCGCAACTATGGATTCTTTTCGTTTGTTGTTTTAAAGTGTTTAGAAGTGTTTAAGACTGATATAAGGTTTTGATGTTTGGATATGAAACATATGGATGTTGTGGAAGTCATATGCTATCAGAATTAATCCACGCCAATTTTTATTCACTTAGGAATTTATCGATTCTAAAACTCTCTGTTAAGATAAGAAGCCAAATTTAACGTTAGGTAGACGCTGAGAAGGAATTGAAAGAGCGAGTCTGCATTTTTGTATAAATTGTTGAATTGAAAAATCGGGTCTGAATTTGATGACAATTGAGCAAAAAAAAAAAAAACAAAAAAGGACAAATTATATATGGTTCAGAAGCAAAGTGCTTATTCCATACGTAGAGGCAAATGGATAAACAAACAAAATTATGATAATGAAATGCAGATATTTGTTAAGTTGAAAACTATGCAAAATATTCATATACGATTAACGTGAAAAAAGACTTGATCCAATAAAGATTAAGTTTGATGATTAGCACAAAAAGCTCAATTGTTTTTCTTTTTTATTTGTAAAAAAGTTTTTATTATTTACATGAATTTATTCATTAAGAATTTTCATTTTGCTTTAAATACGATTCTGAATTTTTATAATTTTTATGTATTCATAAATTAATTTAAGTAAAAGCTAAAACGATTTATTTGTCACCAAATCACCCAAATTTGTACTGTTAAGAAATTCATCCTTTAAAGGTAAAAAGCTTTCGCAACCACCGTCTGAAATGAACAAGCAAAACTCATAAATAATAGCTAATAGGATACAAAGAAAACTAAAGCATTTACCGATTAGATGGCACAATTCAATTAACTTGACAAATAAAGGAGTTTGTGTATAGTCGAGGGCATTGTCGACATCACATTCAGTCCAGTTATTGCATAATACAGCAGTGCATCACACTTTATGACGAGCTCGAATGGGTCGTCTAAATACTTAAGCGAAAATCAAAGTCATGAACGGATTTGTGTTCTTCGGCTACTAAAAGCTGGACAAAAACTCGTAAAAAAGTCTTCAGTTTTAAAATGTAAGCGGGATATGCGGCGTTCATTATACACAACAAGCTGCAGTAGAATTTTTCCTGATTATAGAACATAGGTCAACTTTTTTCACAAAAAAAGAGTGCCAACAAGCCCTCTTATGGGGACGGATTGTCAATCGATATATAATTCCTTAATACTTGTAGTTGCCTCGATCACTCCATATAGTAAATTTAGCGGTCTTGCGATTTGTTTGACGGTTTCCCTTGATATAGGACAAAGAGAAGCGTGGGTTGTTCGGTGCATTTCTGATATCTTCTAAATAAAGGTTTTCATTCTCCCTGAAGCTCGTTCAATTATCAAAGATTGAATTAGTGTAGTTATTTACTATCTTTACTGAGACTTGGTATCTGCGGAAGAATGCAGTACTTTTGTTGTGTTCGCACTGACATTACGATTGTTTGTTTTAGCAGTCCTGATTTCGGATTGAAAAGTTCTTAGAATGCATGTCCGATTTAACTTTGAACCGACAGCCCAATTTTCTTTTTCTTTACGAATTAAAATTTTAGTCTCCTCAGAGGAACATTGAAGATAACAGAAGCCAGTCATTTAGACGATTTTCTACATGCCCTCGTTGTGTGACAATTGTTGTTTCAAATCGAGGTTTTACCAAAAAAGTCGGTAATACCGTCAATGTTGTCAACCAACTTTTTGAAGAAAATCGATTGATTATGGCTACTGCCAGGACTAACTTGAAACTTCAACGTAATATGCATTACATCCGTTTTTGCGTATTTAATGACTTCAAACGGACGCACCTGTTATTGTAACGGAATCGTTTTCCTGTGCTGTCAATTAAGTGTGCTGGCAGAGCAGTCTATAGAACTTTTCCGATATCTGTACAAACGTCGAGGCAAGATTCTACGGTTTTATATATTATAAAATAAATCTTGTAGGAAAAATATTATATGCACCAATCTGTTATTAATTTAAAAAAGTGAATGAAGAATTGATGAATTGAAACCTTAGACATGGATTGTAACAAAAATATTAGATTTTTATTTTAAACATATGCAATCTTTTCCGCAAGTTAGTACAACAAATAATAATTATTTTTTAAGCATTTATATTATTCTATGCTAAATAATTCGATAAAAAGCACACACATTAGTGATTTTTGAGTACTCAAAGAAGGTTGAATTAAATAAGAGTTTTTTTTTTATTTATTTTTTTTTTAAATAATAAGAATAAAGATATTGTTATGGTATATGTTGCTAAAAATCAAATTGACTGGTGTTCAATATTAGTTTACGTAAATATAAAAAGTATCCATACATAGCTGCAGAAAAATTATTAAAAATTTTTAAGAGTTACTGTCCTTTTAACTTCATTTAAATGCTAATAGTGTTGTGGTACTAAGGCATTTCTGTGTGTTAAAATATATATAAAGATTGACTAATTTCTACGCAATAGTTGCTTGACATTTATATACCCACTGCAGTAAACTAACGGTAAATATAATTACATATATATGTATGTTTATTCATTCAGTTTTCATTCCTTAAAAGAGGAGTCGGTTAAGATAAACTTTTGGTTTTGTTCGTGATTATGTCAAGGATGTGTTCGTAGGCGGGCCGAACAGTGAGAGTGTCTGATAATGATTTTGATGTAAAATTTCACCGAACGTATGAACTTTACACTGCATTGGAAAGCAAGATGATTTTCATTGCGTAACCATTTTTAACGAGTTGAATCGAAATTTTGTTTTAGGATCGAAATGAAAGTCTTGCTAGTTTCTTTTGAAAAAAATTGGAACAATTTAACGCTTTGAAGATGACGCTTCAAGAGAACCATTTTACATTATTTTTAAGTAAAAACTCCATGTTTGCTGCAGAAATCGCTGAAAGTTTTCGATAATAAACTTCAGCTTAGGCAGATAGTCATTAATTCCAATTTCACGGTGATCAAAAATTTATATATTATATGTATGTAATGTCACAGACATCTTAATATGTGCATCTGGCTGTTAAAAAGGAAAGAAAAAAATTCTGTGTATTTTTTACCCTGACAGTGGGCACAAAAACTCGAAATTATACAAAGGCATATAAGTGTGAACATGAATTTGAGTAGTTTTACGTTATATATACAGTATTATTACAGTTGTGTTTACATGGGTGATTGTTATTATTTTCATACATTCATTTAATATTTTTTAAATTCTATGGAATGTACCTTTAAACGCTTACGTACACTATTTATTCTAAGATTTACTTTTAATATCGTCGATATCCAGGACCTTCTCGTGGTCAAATTGTCAACGATATTAAATTTTATGTTAACTGTCAACTGTGTTTTTTGTTTCAAATTTGTGTTACATTCGTAAAACGTCCGACTATGTAAATATACGCATATGTTGTTAGCCTACTTTCCAATACATTGAAACCATTTAATCACGGTAGGAATTGCATTTCTACGGTAATAGCCTAAAAATGCAGATATTTTTATATAGTTGCTAGTGCTAAACAAGTGCTATAAACTTTATGCTGTATTTACAATCTCACACATGATTGTGCACCTGTATACCTATGTGTCTTTCATATTTTTCTTGCTCACTTCTAGCGAAAAGTATCTAAAAAAAGTTTGATATCGCTACAATAATGGTAGAATAGAAATTAATTATCGGACCAATAAAAAAGGCGATGTTTTCATTGTTTTCATCAAAACTTTTCAATTGAAAGCATAGATGTATTTTATATCGAAAGTTCTTTTCAAGTTTATATAAAAATCCACCAAACAGACAAACATGCAAGTTCCCAAGCTATCAAAGCGGACATTAACGTGGCGCGAGAATAGAAAAGTTAATCTTTGTTCTGCGACTATATAACAAAAAAGCTGATTACTTGCTTGTTTTCAGCTGAAAACGCGGAAATGCCAGAAACCGATTAAACCATCCTCAACGTAAAAAATGCGTTTCCACGGTGACTTTTTGACATTTTGTGCGCTCGAAGATTTTTAATGACACATGCTTAGGCAGAATTTAGAAATTGGTTGGTTGGTGGATACAAAATTGGAACGCGGCCACTGTAAACCATGACTTGCAACAATCAATCATGGAATCAGTTGATATCGAAAATTTATGTATTCCTAAATAATATTGAATAGGAATGAAATGAACTTTTTTATTTTAATTTTTACGGTGGCATGCATGTGTTGTATATATAAGAAAGAAAATTGTGAATAACAAATGTGTCGAGACTTTTCAAATATAAGAATACAAGATAACCTCATATGAAGTCTTTGTATATGTCTATAGCAACATCACACCAGATATCCATCGCAGTTATTGTTCGCAACCTGGTTATGAATGTAATTGCACGTGGGTATGACCAATATGTTAAGAAACTTTTCATCGCCAACAGCTTCTTTATTTGTTGAATATGAGAAAAGAAAACGTGAACGTTAACGCGATAGCACTTTGCGAATGTGAACTGATGATGGAAGAAGCCCACCATGCTTCACTATTGGGGTTCTCATGTCGACTAAACTTCGCGTTCCGGTCGAATATTGGCTTTTCAGTACAAAGATTTAGCTGAGCGCGATGGGCTTTGCACGATTGTTGAAATTAAAGTTCGTGAAGTCTCAAACGTTCCTTCGGTCACGATGAGGATTAAAGCTTCTATTGATTGCAATATTTGTTTGACGTTTACAGACATAGGGCATAACTTCAATATACATTTTTCTTTCGAGCTGGTCGACGAATCACTGTCTCAAATCAACCTTCCAAATGATTTCGACTGGCATTTGGCAAATTCAGAGACCAGCCTTAAACCAAATGTTAACGAACTCAAAGTTGCGATACACATTCGGGCTGAAATTAATTTGATTTTGGCTGCGGACATATGCATAGAATTTAAAAGTTTGGATAAAAATAACATAAATACCTAAAAGAATACAAAAAAGAGAGGATTTCATCAAAAACTTTTTTAAAATATTTTTTATAAAAAAAATTGCATATAAAAAATTTCTAAAATATTTCAATAACGTAAGATTAGTTTATCACTGCCTGTTGAAGATATGTGTGAACGTTTTCGAATTTTCAAGTCCAAATGATTTCGCACTACCACAGAGCTAATCAAACTCGTTGTTTATAATATCTGTAGCTTATGCGAAATGATTCGAAGTTTACTTCCTCTAAATTGCAAATTGATTCAATTGCTAAATGACTTCCTGATCTATTTAATTGATAAGGAAAATGTTGTAGAGGACCCTCTTATCAATTTCTGAAAATGATTGAGCTGCAATACTTAGTTTATGATAAGTAATTTGATGTTAGGCTTAATGCTATTTGTGTTACTGTATGATTTCTAATTGCACCACTTGTTTGCTATTCTATACTTTTATTTTGAAAAATTTTTTACTGCTGATCGTCATATTAATTTCGCTGAAATTAGTATGGGTGGAGGAACAAGTAGGTTGGTGACGAGCAATTTCCTGACGTTTATATTCATTAAAATAGTTTTCAACCACTAATCCATTGGGCAGACTCTCTTCCGGTATGGAACGAATTTGAACAAAATCATTTGGCCTTGGCACTACATCGGGAGGCGAAGTGCATCGTATCAGAGATGGAATTGTCGAACACTGATTAACTCTGCTTCTCTTCATTATGGTTCTTCTAGCTTTGTATGACCTGACAGCGGATTGATGCGGATGGTAGAAAGTTGATTGATGATTGTGTAGCGATGTAACTAGTCTATCGCCCTTACAAATAAGTCGTTGTTGTCAGAAAATACCATCTAAATTTAATACAGCATTGAGATATCAGGAAAGCGTAACTTGCCCTCATAAAGGCACCAACCCGTTGCGTGTTGTTGGATTTCTGGCCATATAAATGTCCATGTCGTGATCGGTCCAATTGTCGGAAGTATCGCAATAATTGTTTAGCGTATGAGTAGACCCAGCTGTGGAATATCTGCAAAGATAGTTTACTATGTATTTTTAGAATATACAGGTCGGGAAGATAGTAAATGTTTTAGTGTAGAATGTTTCGATGAAGATATGCCAGAAACAGGGAGTTACTAGTCACCAGCGAAAATTTTAGATGTGCATAAGTTATTAAATAAATATATGACTATGTAGCAAGGCCTTAGTTTAAAGCGGCAATTTAAATTATTACTGCAGAGCAAAGATTGCTTTATCTACACTTGTGGGTGTAAATGTTATATGTTTAATATTTTCTTTTCGGTTAATTCATTGATTAATGTTAAGAAGGCGGCGACGGCGGCGGCCTATTCTACTTACCGACTTCCTGGTCGATGGCTGTGCAGATGTGCAGTGTTCAATTGATCACGTGATCTTGAACGTGGTCGAGACCGCCGTGAACTAGAGGCGACGCTTGTCGGACCGTGTATGGAACCTGCATACGAAGCCCGCGACATGCGCTCTGAGGCTGCCGCTAAAGATTGACGCGATTGACGCAGTTCCGGACGTGAATTAACTAAATTCGTGGGAAAAGCTGAACCCAAGTAGCCGCGATGCGAATTATTTGAGAAACTATGCTGTGATTGGCCGTCGGCGATTGATCTGAGTATTTTTTTTTTTTTTTGCGGGTGAAATGAATGATTGTGTAAACGGTAATGAAAATGATGCATACGTACATATATATGTAATACAAAAGCGGATAATCAATTAATTTGATCTGTGTACATAATCGTGTCATGTATATTTTACAATTGCTCTCTATACCCGTAAAGATCGTTTTACTTACCTTGGTTTGGCCACCTTTCCAGGCATACCAGAAAAATAACTGCGCATATCATCCTGATTGTCCATGGGATAAACACGAGGACGTGGTATAGAACGGCCACTATAAGCAGAAACTTGATCCCATTCCTAAAAGGAATGTAAGTTATATTCGAAATCATTATATATCGAGTTCAGAAAGAGAATCCGTTGAGTACAAATAAAATGAAATGTGAACTCTTTAAAAAATGAGCTTACTTTGTGATTGTTGAATGCCGATAGAGTTGCAATTGAACCAAGTGGGCCTGGAGAGCTGGCGGGCCCGCAGCAATTTACGGGTAAACCTCCAATTGGTAAAGGACTCTTTTGTTGCGTCGTTTGCAATTTTCTTGAGCGTCTGTCAATTTAAGCAAAGAAAAAGTATGAGCATTTCAATGAAAAAGGAAATTAAAACATATGTGTTGAAGAAATTAATTGAAGGGACACTTTTGTGTCTGCGAAATAGAATGATGTTTTGAGTGGAGGAATCTGGAACAGTTGAGCACTGAAAGACTTAGAAACTTTGCCCCACAGATGATAACTGTGTTCCGCACTTGGCTGTGGATATGCACGTCGTAAATGATACACCCATCGGAAGCAGTGAAGCATTGTTGGCACTGCTTTCAAAAACCGAAGTCCTTAATTGCTTCTTTCGATATAACTTTATATTATCATACCCAGAATATCGAAGGCTACCGAAATCTTTTACATTTATAAAAATAATGGAGACCTACTTACCGACTTGCAGCAATAAAAACGATTACGGCGACAATAATTGTGCCGCAAATTGCAGCGCTCGCTGCTATGGTTATTTTGTCCATGTTGGATGTTTGCGAAGAAACAGTGCGTACTTCTCTGCATTGCTGATAGGGTACGGTTTCCGGTGTTACATGCAGTTCTTCAAGCGATATAACGCAAACGATGATACATTCTTGAGCTGGTACATTTTTGATTTTAAATTCACGTTCGCTAGCCTCCAAAGGAGGACCTTGTTTAAAAGATTTCTCCCCAAACAGACGATAAACGACTCGAAAACCTAAAATGTTGGCGGTGTCAGAGTCCCACTGAATAATTACGGAGTTGTCTTGACGAAAAGCATTTTTAACCTGTACTTCGTTTGAGTCATCGACTCGGGTGCCCTTTTGTGATGGAAAACCAAGCACTAGGGGTGGTCTTTGCTGTTTGTGCTGCGTTCCGCCATTATTAGCGTTAGAGTTTTGGCGCCACGATGTCAGTTGTTTTAAATTTGTATTTGGATTATTGCTACCGCCAACAAAAGTAGTAGGTGAAGCCGAGCCAGTGCCGGTGTTCGTTTGGACAGTGGGTTGAACCGGTTGTTCTAGAAAATTACCACTAATGCTCACGGGAGCTTCAGTTGTAGATGTAGTCTTGCTCTGAAAATTTAAAACTAAACTAAATTCTTTTCAATACAAGATAAATATTTATATTACTGCTAAAGTCGTCGAGGTAACGCTCTTGGAAGGGGATTGGGTTGGAGCGGTCTTTCTGGTCGTAGGCATTGTAGAACTCACACTAATTGCTGTTGTTGGTGTTGTTGTCTGTGTAAACGCTTTTATGGTGGCACTAGTCCCAGCGAGATCTATGTCTGTATCATTAATTCGCTTGTTTGGTGCTATTGTTGGTTTTTGGCGGGGTATTAACGTTTCAACTAGGCCAAAGGATGTATTCACTTTATCCTCAGTTGCGGGGCAAATTAATTCATTCGGCTGCAACGAATAGAAACCTCTATCACGGAAATGCTTAGGACTGCCACAAAATTGAGGATTTCGTTCGCGGGAAGTCACCTTTAAAATTAGAAGTTTGGCGATAAAAATGGTACTTTTCAAAAAATATTGAATACTACCTGCAAATCTCCATTACGTATCCACTCCGCCACCCAACGTAACTTACAATCACAATGTAGGGAACGTCCACCGAGTGATAAGCCTCTTAAAGTAGCGTTGAGATGCGTGAACGCGCTATTTGGTACCGTAGACAAAGGATTACCATCCAAGGCCAATAGTGTTATACTTGGATTGCCACGAAAGGCTGCCTCTGGCAAACTCGTTAACAAATTGAAACCTATATCGAGTACGCGTAATTCTTTTAAGGCATGTATAGCACCCACTGGAAATTCCGCTAATAAATTATTCAATAAGCTTAACGAACTAAGAGTTTTGCGCGCCCCAACGAATGAAGTTTCTCCGAGATTTTGTATCAGATTACGTTCTAAATTCAAGGCGGTTAAAGAGTCTAAACCTTCAAAAGTTCGGATGCCTCCAGCACCAGGCAACTCTTTAATTCCGTTTAGCGATAGATCCAAAAAGGCCAAACTTTTTAGACCTCTTACACACTCGGGAACACGACGTTGGCGCGTACCTTTCAAATTTAAATTTTTTAAACTATTCTCTAAGCCGCGAAAAGCTTTGGCAGATAAAGTAACATTGTTATCATTAAGCTTTAATGTAGATAGCTTTGTGAGTCCTTCAAAAGCGCCTTCTGGAATAAAGGATATCCGGTTTTTAGAGAGGTCTAGCAGGTTAAGAAAGCTTAACGTGCGAATGCCACCAATCGGCAGTTCGGAGAGTAAATTGTCCTGTAAATTGAGATTTTTTAATACCCTTTCTTGTCCTCGAAACGTCGCATTACTAATTTTATTTATCTTGCAGCTTGATAATTGAACGTTATGTAGACTGAGATTTGCAAAAATGTCATCGGCTAGTGCGTTGACAGTGGAATTATTAACGTATAACAAATCGATGGACTTATTTTTGGCATACTTATTTAGCGCCTCAATTAACGTTGAAAAGTTCACCTAAACACAATAATAATTGATTGATTTGAAGTAACATAATTTGAGACAAAACACTCACTTGATCGCACTGCACTGAAAGTTCTCTGCCAAGATTATAAGCACATATGCAAGATGTCTGCAAATCTGGTATTTCACGTTGCCAGGGGCATTGTGCTTGTGCGGCGAATATAATGCTTAAGAGAATTCCGGTAACAGACGATAAAGATATGCTTTGCATCTTTTCCGTTCCGGATTTTCCGTAACTGTTCGGGTACATTTTCATCTCGTTGGCATGTAGTGTCCTTTAAAAAAAAAAAAACAAGTGGAAAAGGTAATCATTTTCACGGTGTAGCGCCAATTTCGATTTTTCAAAAACTGAAGCGAAAAATGTCCAATTCCGTGTTCGACAAATGTAACGAAAGAAGGGGATCCTCGCAAAAAAATTGCGGAGAGCGAAAAAGAATATTTGAGCATGTCAGGACATGATCCTAGGATTGCAGACTAATAGAAGAAAAAAATTTATTTTAATAGAGAAACATACACATATTAAGCGTTGTCAAACTTTAAATGCATCATTGAAACAATGTTTATTTTTTTGTATTCAAATTTTTCCCAACATTTTTAAAATAACAGTTCAAAGGAAAGTATTCAGAGAATTTCGACAAGTTAATCTCAACCCTAATTATTTAACAAAGTATTGGTTTTTTTTTTGATAGAAAATTAAAGTTTTTTATTCAAGTACTCCCTAATCGCACAAACAGGAATGTTTTTAAAATCCCGTCTATGTTTCACAAGGTGTAGGTTTGTAGATTTTCTTCGAAATGAAATTTGGCCAACTACAGTGCAGATCGCCGAACGCCATAAAGTAAAGATCACAACAATGTCTACCATTCTTTTAAATTAATCTGTTTTTTTTTTTTTTAATTAGATGTACGCTGAATAGCCTTCTCAAATACTGTTAGTATGCTCTCTTTCCTTTCACCTCGAAAAAGTGTTAAAAGTGCAGATTGTTGTTCGGTTTAAATAGAGAATATAAGCGTTTTAAGTTTGGAAAATTTCGGGATACGAATTCTCATAGTTTCATCCGATATATAAAAGTAATAAAATAGAGTTTCAATGCGTCACTTATCTAATAGGATGATATCTTCTTTACCTTTCTTTCCAAATAGCTTTTTTACATTGAATACTCTTCATCTCAGTCCTATTAAGAATTGTTTACATATTCGATAGGAATTGTATGCGATGTTATGCGGCAATATCTCTTTTTTACATCTTTTTAGGGCAAGTGCATGATGAACCCTTCGATAAATATGATTTCAATTTGCCTTTTCTTTATCACTCTTGCCTTTGCAAATTTTTAAGTAGCAATAAAGACGCGCCGTTTATCTATCCCTTCAAGCGATGTTAAAATGCATGTGTTGACGTTCACGTCAACGCATGCATATGTATATGCGAATATGTGAACATATCTTGTATTATACAAGACTTGCTTGCTATGGATGTAACGTAGTGAACGATGTGCTTTTTTGTAAGTCGTACCAATAAGTGTAATGAACGAGTCGTATGTCGCTACGTGTAAAGTGCAAGCACCAAACGAGTATATATATAGCTATAAACTTAGCTCGCTATGCATAGCGTGATAATACAAGTATTTGACACATTGACTTCGTGAACAGGAGTCTTTTAAAATGTTATTTTCACTTCTTAGGATTTACTTGACTACTTTTGCGTAGGCAATGCTGTTCCTATGTCACTATCTAGCGATTATTCCTTCTTCCTAATTTTATCCCTTTCGCATTTTTGTTTTTTGTTTTTATTCCATTTTGCTTAACATTTGACAAAACTGACGTTGGACGCCCTTTAAGTTCAATCAAAATTTCATTGTATTATTTGCTTTAATAAAGACACTGAAAAGATACAAACAAAACAATCTGTCCCGTACGGCATTATTACGGCGGTTGAGGGTGAGTGTAAAGCTAATATGCAAAACACTAAACTCAATAATTAGCGTTTCTAACTCTCGGGCATTTAAGTGAAAAACGCACTTAAACGCACTTAATGTCAAAAGCCTTATAAAAAAGTCTATCATCCTTAAAATGTTGTATCATTTTAGATGTTTTTTACTGTTAATGTTATTAAAATGATAATGATGATGGTATTGATGGTATATAGATTGCTATTAAAGTTTATTTTCTATTTTGAGCATACATACAAGTCACGGTGTATGGTATTCTTCTCGCCCTTTCTGCGTACGACACGCGCTTTAAGTTAATGCAAACTCGTTTATGTTTTGTATTGATTTTGTCTGAACTTATGAACGGTAATGCCATCGTTGTTCAATGCAATTACCTATATTGAATTTCGTTCTACTTTTTATCGTGTTTAGCCGTTTGAGCGATCGCTGCATATGAGTGTATAGCTGAATATGAATGATTACGTGTTTTAGACAAAAGAAACATGTCGAGGACTTTAACTTAGTTACGCGCTTGATACCAGTCTCCACTCTTCCCAGCTAGTTCTATTAAAGTGCGCAATAGAGGTAAAGTATCTAAAATTGATCAATAAGAATGACGTCGACTTTCTCCACTGACTTCGAAAATTGTGAGCGCTTACTTGGAAAATTTTAACGCCTCCACTATATAATCGGATTTTGTTTTGCTTCATGCGAAACTTTTTAAATGGGCAAGAGAAAGATGCCTTTAAACTTTCCTAAGTGCAATCTTTCGCTTAGAAATCTCAGACGTTCTACTGTAATCACTTTATCAGAAAAACGGCAGAAAGTTATCAACCAAAATAGCATACATTTAGTTCGATAAAATTTATTTAAAATATTGGGAAAACTATATGGTCTTCTGTAAATTAATGCATAGCGTAGTATGATTTAGTTGATCGAGGAGATTCTTGCAATGGTTGTCTATTGATTAAGTTTCCCCCAAAATATTTAAATATATTGATTTAAATCACCTTTGCATTTTTCAAATCTTTTACTGGTAAGAATTCCATAAGGCTGCTTCTGATCTTGTAAACAAAAAAATCGAATATAAGTCTTTAAATACATATTAACATGAAAAGAGTAATTAATTGATCTTTTCTCATCTTTATTTAAACAGAATGTCACCAGGATTTCCTGATACCAAAACTTGTCTACTACACCAAAAGTTGCAAATGTTAAATATATGTATAGAGCGAAGGCTAGAAAGGGAATTTAAAGCTCACCGCCAAGTACCGGGTTATATAACAACAAGCGAACTTAATTTAGCGGATAGTTTGAATGACGAGGATGAATTCTACGATTGTTTGGATCATGAGGAACGTGAAACCGCCGGAGACGCTGAGAATGTTTCGTCAAGCAAAAGCACCAAAGTTGAAAAAGACGTAAATAAAGCGGAAGGACGCTTAAAACGTTTGGGGAACATAAAGCTGATAGCTGCTGACGAATATTTATTTATACCAGTTACGCAAGAGCTAGTGCCCAAAACTGAGGATCAATTCTTAGACGACAATGAAGATATACTCAGCTCGGGTAAGTGAAAAAATCTTCAAAGAACTATGAAAAAGGTCGAATGAAATACATTCGAAGATTCTATATATTAAGATCAAATCAGACAAAAAATGGCTTCATCCTTACAATCTGATATGGACGCTTTTAAAGCTGCCAATCCCTTAGCTAAATTAGAAGATTTTATAAGATGGTACAGTCCAGTTGATTGGGTAGAGTCCGTTGATGGTAATTATCACATAGCATATTTATATTTACTATACATATATACATATATATATAGTATATATAGTATATAGTATATATATGTATTCCTATATACATTTTAATTTTTTTTAGAAAATGCTCAGAAAGTATATCAACTAAGCGGTCGAATGTCCGCTCCTGGTAATATCTGGCAAAAATTATGGGAACAATCAAAACCTATTCCTGCGTACAAACAGGTGAATTTGTTATGTTTTAGGTATTCTTAAGCACAATTCGGAGAGAGTATTAGATTTGTAAGTAGAACCATTAAAACAAAGTTAGAAGAAACGTATTACTAACATCTGTCTGTCTGTCTTTGCGTCTCGGGAAACTTTGTTTACGTCCTCCAAATTTCAAAATAAATGGATATAAGTAAATAAGCCAATTCCACTAGAATTACCGAAATTTTGTACCTGTTTCCACCGTTTTGTGGGTAGTTCTAATATCGTCTTTGTGATACGTGAGTAAAGAAAACTGAGATTTATCACCAACGTGACTCAAAATTAGAAAATGTTAAGAAAAACTGCTTACAATATTTAAACGCCCGTTTATATTAACAAAGGTCATTAAAAAATCTTGGAGATTTGTAACCATTTTCACGTCAAAAGTTCAAAAACTTCAGAAACAGAAACATCCGACCACCTCGTAAATTTGCATAGAATGATTAAAATTTTCTTTTTCGAATTACATTTGTTTATTAATTGATTATCAATTACTACTATTTGCTGGTTTCTATTAATTACCAAATTGAATTTAATTAAAGTGTGTTTTAATTTATATAAAACGCAAGATTTTGTTCATGGCAAATACGCATTTCTGGCATACAACGGTCAACTGATAACAGTTAGCGAGTGTGTTGGCGACGATGCTCAACAATCTAAAATTGACCGATGTACATATATTGACCGTTCTAGTTGGCGTGTTTCATATACTTTGTTGCGCGCTTTCAGATGCTATATATCCTTGATCGATGTGTAGCCTGAGTCAACCTAACACCACACCTATGCGTCCATCCGTTGTTTGGGTTACTTTCAATGAACAATGTTTGTGCTGCTGCATGTCACATTTTAAAGCATACGAAAGAGCACAGACGGGGGAACATAAAGGGTTTTACTTGTAAATGGAACCCTTTCAAATGCTGCAGTAATCCGTTACGCCGTATAAATGCTCGATGACATACTCCGTAGGTATGTTTCCGCTCTTCAGTATGGGTTATTTTGTGCTGACAATAAACTCTGTTCGGCATCACTGCAAGAAATCGTTGGCTCTTCTTTAATATCTTGTAGTAGGGACGGAGTGATACTTTCAAATTAACGGAGAAGTAAACAATCTAACTTCGATTTTACTACTGCAGCGGATATAATGCTATGTTCATTTGCTATAAAGGATTTCTCAGTTTCGATTTTTCCGGTTGAGTTCAGCAAAGCAAGTAAACTGTCCGCATTATTACAGTTCTTCGAACACATCAAACATTCAAATTTAAAAAACTCATTCCGATATTGCCTTTTATTCAGATTCTTCATTTGGCTGCATTTAATCGATTGTAAAGAAGCATTTATTGTGTTGCTGAGTGAATGGTCGGCTTTGATTGCAATTGTTCAACATTTTGTTCTGGATTTTGAATAGCACTAACCGCATTTGCTATGGGCTTCACGGCCCGATTTTCACGCAATATCAAAATTGTCTTCCGTCAAAGATGGAACTCATGTTGGGTTGGCTGGTAAATTACTTTGGTGCTGATATGCTTCCTCTCTGTCCACACTGGAAAAGTTTAGTTTCGTATTAATTGCAGAGTTAGTAGAGTATTTTGTTCATAACCTTCAATCTTCTCCGACGTTAAACTGTTTCGGTCCACTTTTGTTAGCTTACCTAAAAAATTTTGAGAATTTGACCTGTGACCAACAGCAAAACACCGCAATATTAAACGTTTTCTTTGGGTAGTGAAACTATAAAGCTATGGCAACAAATATCGCAAATAGTAAATTGTATGTTATTAAAACTTTATATCTCTCCGCAGCCGCCATCATATTTAGTTAGAAAATCTTCTTCCTTCTTGTTCGAAACTAGTGATAGATGTTAAAGAAGTCAGTCCAAGCTATAAATATATACTCCCTGGTTTTAAGCTTTGCTTTGAACGTTTTATTTTTCAATACAAGCGTAGAAGCGCCTATTCGACGACACTGATGAAGGTTTTAAAGTTCTTACGTATCTGGAGACACGAAACGTCGGCGAAGTGTATCAGTTAACGGTGGTGCCTTTACTCCATAGCTCTATACTGAAGTTGAAGGTATTTGAAATTATATGTTTATTTGATAGGCGAAAAGCATTTACTATTATTATTTTCACTTCAACAGAACATTTTTATTAATTCAAACGCGTTAGACGTATTTGAACAGACTGTAAACGAAACATTGGCCGATTTATGTCGTCTATCCCGAGATATTGAAGCAGTTAAAACAAAAGATTCAATTTTTGAATCATTTCCAAACATCGAACCGATATTAATGCAAATAACAAAACTTGAGCTTCAGTTTTATCAATTCAAGTGTTTCGAGAGCATTGTCGACATTGATCGCGCAGGTACCAGAACGACCGAGATTAAGACATACTTTAAAGAAATGATGGAAAATAATGGCTGTTACAATATTCGGAAATATAATGGAAAACTAAATGAGCAGACCGGAAATTCACAATGCTTGATTGACATTCTGAATTCAAGTTTCAAAGATAAATTACATCAAAACCCAATTAGCAAGGAATATGTCATACGTTTGGGTAACGATTGTGCGGATATGAATAGAAGAGTTGAACTGTCAGATATGCCGCAGTTCCTAAGAGGTATTGTAGCGGGCAAAACATTGCGTTTATGTGGTGCATTTACGGAAAATACAACATTCTTGGATTGAAATATATTCTTGATTCATTTACATATATATTACTAAGATTCCAACTAACCACTAATATGGATATGTTATTAGAAGAGAAGGTGAGGCCTTCTTCTTTAAATGTAATATGTTAAACATGTATGCGCCTATATTGTTGTAATAAATGTTAAGAATTTAAAGGCGTATTTTGCTGCCGTCTCCGCGAATTTGTACTTATGGTAAACCACCATGAATAAATCAGCTAAAAGCGATGATGACATTTGACAAAGGCACGTCGATGTTCAAAAGCTTTGGTATTTCTTTTTAATGTTTCATTGGAAGCAATGCATTTCATTAGATGCAATGTAGGTTTACGTTATTTAGAATATTTAATGATTGCTCATAAATAAAAATGTATTGCTTTAATAAATATGAAGATAGTTTTCTTATTTGCACTTTCGCTATCTCTATATAAACGGATCTTATCAGCCCACTATCCAAATTTCTTAAACGAGTGAAATTGGTTTGTCCTACAGGTAGCTTTTTAAATTACCGCTAGATGGATACTCGAAGTCATGTCAAAATATTTAGACTACATTAAGGGATGATAAGTTTGGCAGCACTTAATAAACAAAGTGCAAACACAGTGTAAGTATCAAGTAATTCGATTTAAACCTTTCATTTATTAATTTCTCTTATGGATGGTTCAATAATATAGAAACTATCGACTTTTTTTTTAAGTTGTTTGTGTGTGTGTGTTTTTTTTTTTAATTTGTAAAACATGTGGGTTCGTGCTATTGGCAATGCAAGGTGTGCTGGTGATTTTATAATTATTACGAAGAAGTAAATTTTAGTTCTTAGCCATTTACGCATTCAGAGTTATTTATTCGTACGAAAAAAATGTTACTTTGCTCTTTTCTAATGCTTGCGTTTTAGCATACACGTGAAATTGTATAAAGATGTATAGCAACTATATATACATTGACGACTTGAGTTTGGGAAGCACTACATTTTGATTAAACATAATTTTGGAAGATATTAATTTTTCTTTTTTTATGGCTAACCTATAGGCGCTGGAGCTAATTCGGAGCTAAATTCTTTGCAAGAATTAAGCTTAAACGTCCCCCTAGATCTGCTAAATGTTAATTTGAATTTAATACGCGCACGAAAAAAGGTCATGGCGAATTGGGGGACAAAATATTTAATATTTCGGGGCAGTGGCTAACACACAAACTTGGTTGCCGCATATATTTTTCGCTCGCCACTACTATATTTTTTGTATATAAATTGATCGATCAATGTTTAATTTTCTTAATACCATATCCGTCGATATTTTTATGCGAACATGAAACTGGTAGCAACAAAAAACAATTGAAAAAAGTTACATTGAGCTGTGGCCGAACCTTTCATGCTCGCTTACTTTATGTTAAAAAAAAAACCTTTAGAAAAAACGAAGAAAATCAATTATTTATATGACAAGTAACAAAGTTATATTCGGGTGTGGTTGAATCTCGCATACCCACCACCATTAAAATTTTTGGCGTCCCATGCTTTTGTTGATTGTCATAAAAAAATGAATAAAACAAAATATTCATCTTCTGCCTCTTATTTCACCAAAAAGGTATTTATAAGAAAATTTAATCTACCATATCATGACATTCACCATAATCAATTTAGAATTAACACAATTAGCTCTTTTTTATGAAAGCAAAATGGACGGTTTTTTTAGAAAAAATTTATCCACCAGATCGTGGCGACGTTGATTTAGAATTAACAAACTCAACTTTTTGCATTTTGCCCTCCAAGGCCTTTCATTCGATAACCATGCCGCTGGTATTATTAAGAAAACATAAATCCACCAGATCGTTGTATCTGCCATATTTATTTTAGAATCAAATTCTTTTGTAGACAGATTATATATCTTTTTTAAACATTCTGTTTTGTTTGCCTTATGATTAATAAGGATCAAACTTCAAATAAGTGAAAAAAACGAAAATTTAATCATTTGTAACTTTGTGTGTGCATGGCCGATTTTTGCATTTTTGCGTATAAATAATAGAGTTCCTCCTAAAGTAATTTTGAAAAATTTGTATCCTTGCCCTAGCCCTCTTTTAGAATTTATGTAATGAGTAAAAATCCACAAATTTTTGTTAATAAAAACGAAGTTGAGTTCTCTGCAAGCTTGCAGTCTGGCCAATTTGACATATTTTCAATACTAACTGCCTGCAAGAACTTTCAATGTTTCTATCAAATTTTAAACCGATATTTTCATTTTTGCGACCAAGAGTACGTTAACCAAATTCAGACGGACAGACTTGATCTAGTCAATTCAAAATTTCATGTTGATCAAGAATGTATATATGTATATACCTTATAAGGCGTTTGAAGCTTCCCTTTGGGTGCTGCAAATATTATGACAAAATGAGTATACCACAATCCTTCAGTGGTAGGTATAATAATTAGTATGCATGGCGGATTTTCTTTCTTTCTGTGAAGGTGTTTTAAAACCGACCGTACAATGCAGGTGAAATTTTTAACTGGTGCATCCGTTGTATTTTATGAGCTATGGGCAAATAATCAAAGTCTTTTTGCTTTTGAAAACCCAAATCAATTTATATTGAATTGTGGGCGTGACTTTTAATCGTTTTGGCCCGTCTGCAATACTAACAGGCGGCTACTGCTTATGTCTTTGCCAAATTTACAAATAATATATTAATTTTTCCTCCCGCCTGCATCCGTAACGGACAGTAGACGGACTAAAGAATACCTCGAGACTGATTCCGAATTTGAACATTTATTCTTCTCACTTTCTTTCTGAATGTTACAAACGCTCTAACAAAGTAAACATATCTTTAACCTTTATTGGTGGGTATAATAAATCTTTCTTGGAGATTCGGTTTTACATATTCTGTTAGATTATCGCGTCAACGTATTAAAAGTAACGGTAACTAAAGATTCTGTTTAAGGTCTTATGGCTTAAGTTTATTATGATTATTTCCGGTGCGATAATGTTCTAAACACTCTGCAATTACCAACGGTTTCCCATATTTTGCAATCCATTTATTACTCATATTGAAGCAACTGGCACGTATTTGATTTGTATTCAGCAACAAAAAATCCGGAATACAAGAAAAATGTCACCCTTCTAGTGAGTCTGTCTCTATACTCATAATCACGTAAGAATATATATATACAAGATTTGTCCTTGCATTTGCAACATTCAGAAATTATTTGAAATTAAAAATTATTTTAAATATATCCATTCTTCATTACTTTAGAAATTCGAATCCATTTAAACATGCATGTCAGTCACTCCGCTTTGCTTGTTTGCGTGTACGGTGCCTATTGCCGCAACGCTTACACCAGAATAAGGGTAGAAAGCTAAAACCACCTCTAACCAAAAAGCAAAGCAAGTTCGAAAATGAGATTGATTCCAGCCTATAAAGTATAAAGCTGTAATTTCAATTTAATAGCACATATTATTCAGGAGATCGATCAAAAGAAAGGATTTTTTTGAAAACAAAGTTCTTCGCTAAACGCACTGATGACAAATACTTTCTGTATTTTGTTTGCGGGTTACTTATGAAAATGTGTAATTATTTTAGACCTTAGTTATGATAAAATTTTAGTCTTATGTCATTTACTTATTGTACCAGTCAGCAGGTTATTATTGTTTGAATTGCTTATATTACTTATTTATCCAAAAGTAAATTAATAAACATTTACGAGGATCATATAAAATCACAGATGAAGATTTGTAAACGCGCTCATAAATGGACCAAATATTGTAACTTATAATCAATAATTAGTTTTGGCTCCACATCCAAAACAAGTACGCCTTACATGTACCTGAAAGTTCGTGGTAAAAATTGTCCCGATTGGCATCATTGCACATTTATACAAAACTTAATTATAGCTTGCCTTGGTGAATTAAGTCTTTAGCACGTAGGATCCTTACCGTTTGGGCACACAGCGGTATCCATCCACTGCCTGTCTCTTCTTGCACGTGTGTCTGATCATCACCGTGTTACACTTATAGAGCACATCCCCCGAGTCCCCCGAGTTGGTCATTAAAAGAAAAGTACTTGGATTCTTCACCTTGCCGCCTACTTTTAAGCTATTTTTTCCAGGATGTCTAAGATTAGGTAAGGTACGCTGTAGCTTTTACATCTTTATTGATAGCTTATTGGTAGTTGGAAAAGCATATTATATTTTGGTCTTTTTTTTTTATTTTTTTTTATTATAAATATGTGATCTACGGTATCGGAAATGGAGTTTCCTATTCGTATGATACAGATAGGTTGGCTCTCTTTATAGACATCAAAGTCCTTTTCTATATGCACAGGCAAAGCGTATAAAATGTATGGAGTCTATCGCAAATAACAAGAATCACGATGATAGCGACCGTCAAACATTGAGTCTTCGTTTGCATTTCTTAAGCATATTTGATCGGGAAAAGGAGTCTAATCTAATTGAAATCATTAAAAAGGTAAAAATGATTTGCGTTAAAGCTCTACTTGGCCTCTAAGAAGCTTATAAAACTACAATTTCCAACTAAGTCCAAGAAAGTTCATATAAGGCGTAAAAATTATATAAACATATTGCTGTTTTGAACAATACAATGGGATATATGGGATGTCGTCCATCGCGGTTTTAAGAGAGAGAAAATAACTTAAATTCAATATGATTTTGAATACTGAATGTCAATGCCCTTAGCTGAAGCTAGAGGCATGTTAAACAATAGAAACACTGCTGATTAGTGTGTTAGGTTAACGCTGTTAATCATTGTGAAATTACCATCGAACAAGATGTTGTAAATATTACGATTAAAACGATCTTGACACTAATGTTGATTTGCGTGTCTTATAATCGCTCGCGGAGGCAATGCCTGCTTTAAGTTTGAATGCAAGTTGAACTTGATTAATACAATCACTCTGGAAACACAGCAGACTCTGTGGTTTCGTACGCTTCGCCAACTGTTGCTCCCCTTTTCGTTACTGTAACTTTTACATAAATGTTTAGGGCAAAACATTATGTTATTTCTAACATTTTTTTAACATGATCAATCAATTGAAAGAAAAAATTAAATCATTGATTTTATATGATTCCTTTCTATCATGAACACATTAGAAGCCTTAAATGTATGCATTTTGACAAAAAAAGATCGCAAAAGGAAAGATCGACCAGTTGGCAATATCTAAGAAAACTGAAAGCAAATGCACTACACGTAAGAATAATACATAAAACCGCCGGCTGTTTGTTAATAAAGCTTTCTAATAACGGACAGATACGAAGATAGGATTAAAATACTAAA